AGCATAGTCAGGGGGAGCTGCAAGTAGAGGCTCGAGTGGCTAAGGACCGATGGGGACATGTGTGCACCACTCTCCTTCCACGTCACTAGTGGTTAGCTGGTTGTGAGGCAAAGAGTAGTCGTACATGTAGAAGAAAATGACTCATTACTTTCAAATGTGATAGTATTATATATTCACCCAAAACTTTGGCACACAAGCAATGTGAGACTAAACTTGTGTCACACCTTTCCCCGAAAAAGATTTGAAGATTTGAATACTTAAATTATCCTTTCGTTATAACAGAGATATATCATGATGACGTCACTTAATAAGAGCATTAGATTACTTATTTCAATGTCTCTCATGCAAACGGGTAATCGACACGGGTTTGAATATTCCTAGAGTTAAAACTTGTATTTTTATCTAATTATCGTGACTTTCTTGTGGATTGCTAGTGAAGGATTAAGCCGCTAGAATTGCTGAATCATTAGCAAAAATCTCATCAACGCGATTCGTGGAGCATTGGTACTAAAATTGTTGAACAATTCGTGATAAAGGATCATGAATCTATCAAGTAAATCATCTCTAATTGATCAACGAATAAGTCGTCGTCGGGAAGAAGACGATCTATCAGGAGACGAGTTGCTACCTCTTGAGAACATACCAAATGTGATGAAGAGCCTCCTCTTGTTGCGTGGACTTGAGGATGAACCTCTTTGACATGCGCCCCACCTCCATCTAGCTCTTTTCCGTTAGGTAATAGCGACTAGAGATGATTCGATGACTCATTTCATTGATGTCTAGACTTCGCAAGGAAATCTAAAGATTGTTCATGTCATCCTAGTCCAAAGAATACCTTTGAGGCTGTGGATACTACACGATGATTCTTCTAAACATTCAAGATTTCAGTGCATTATCAATGCATTGCCACTGCGACGTCAGAACTCTGTTTTCTTACTTTCAACTTAATTTACACTTCATTTAATGATAATGTATGTGATTTAAATTTATCAAGTTATACGTCATTCAATTACGATTATTCTAGCTTTTACATATCTTAATTTGATCAATTAAATCGTTTGTAATCGCTTACGTAAGAATCATTGGGTAGAACTTTTGTTTTCGCCTAATTCGCGTTCGTCAAGCATTGACATCATCCTGATATCTGCACCCTTATTTTTTTTTCATAAATTTTAAATATATTTTATTTTTATTTCGTAGTATAAAATTCATTAAAAATTGTATTATTTGAGAAAAATTATGAAAAATTACTCGATATTATATTACATCCTTGTGATTGATCTAAAACATTACCACTATTTGTGAGAGTTTTATTGAATTATAATTGATATATTTGTTTAAAAATACTTCTAAATATCTGAAAATTAGTATTTTCTAATTTTATAAATTTTAAATTTACGTGATTAACTATACAATGACTAAGTCACATTATTTACTCTCTAACATTTAGTAGCCACAAATAGAAAAATTTAATACACATTGAGAGCAAGATTTTTCTCAAGGTTCAATTAGCCACCTCATAAAAAAATTATAGATGGCTGGTGAGGATGATTCTCCACTTTCTTCAATGACATCGATTATTTGAACTCAATGAGGCAAAGAAGAATACAACTTCATGAAATTTAGATTGCATTAACTAGGATAAAAGAGGTTTGATTACATAAAAGTTAAAGGAACAAAACGAAAATGATTTCTCCCTCTTGTTCTGACAAATGTGAGGAGAGAATGGCGGCCTCATGTAGGGGCATCTTCGGTTGATCCTCTTTTCACTATGCCAAGGAAGGAGAGCCACGATCGTTGCCAGCGTTGTCCCACGAGAAGGGGGGGAAGGAATGAGCTGGCCCACCTATGATGTGCTGCGGGTGGAGCCAAGGGAGAGAGGAGCAGGCCATCCCCACGGTAAGAGAGGGATGCCCCTTTAGTATGATTGCTAAAATTATCACAATCTCAAAATAGACTAAGTCGTAACATGAAAGGCTGAGCCAACATTTCCTACATAGTGGCCTATGAATGATAGTTACTTGATTGAGCTTGCACATGATCAACCCTTTTTAAGGGAGTTTCCTACTATTATAATATCATAGTAGAGGATATGAAGTTTCCTAAGTGTTGTAGTATCATAATTGAGGCTATGAACTATCTTGCTATATGCAAACTTGTTCATTCATCATTAATAGAACATGAATGTCATGTGATGCCATGATTTGGTGGCTTTCTTTGTTCACATGCAATTGACTTTTAGTAAAAATGTAACTCCAAAGGATTGACTAATGCAATTGATGATCTAGATCATTCAATTCCATAAATCTAGACATAACTGTCAAATGATGTTTAAGGCAATTATGAATAAATTTTGAAATTTTTTAGTATATTTTATTCTTCCTCCGTGCATTAAGTCACATTAGCATCACATTAAGAATCACCCTTCTGCACACGTTTTTCAGATTGAGCTAAGAGTTGGTGTAGATTAGCTGGCTTAATCTTCATGTAGCAAGTCTTGAATTAGGATACTAGGGTCTCATTGTGCTTCAACCTCTACAACTTGGCTAAAATTTGATGACCTACTCCTTTGAATTCTATCAATGCAATATTAATTATTAATATCAAATGGAATGCATGCTTCTTAATTATAAAATGCTCCATTTTAATTCATTATGGTTCCAGTCCACTATGTATGAATGAACTTTAATAAGTTAATTCAAACTACTCTATAGACTGAACCTAGTGTGCTTGAATGATATGTTGTGATCTCTTGATATATGTATTCTATTGAATTCTAGATTCCATTGACTTTCTTGTGGTTTTACTTGCCTAGATATGCAGCCAAGCTTTTATCACCATATCCCCCCTACTGGTTTTTTCTCAAAAGTGACCAAATTAGAACATAATCTGCATTTAAGTTAATTTGTAGGAATTCATAATTTATTTCCTTTGGACTATATTTTTTCTCCTGTACAACTCTTTATAAAACTAATGTTTACTATATAGTTTTTGTATGCATTGCAGCATCTTTAGTGATTTTATTCCAAGTACTTCACCAAATTCTTACCATTTCATTATTGGACACTATCCTTATATTAGTGCAGACTTTTAGATTTAAAATTGATTTATATTGTATTTATCAATGCCAAATAGTCCATTGTGAATAAAAAATGCATAACATTATTGTGAGAATCTTATTAGTCATGCACACGTTTGTTTTCACTACTAATTTCATACCTAAGCAAAACATATTATCTAAGTTTTGTATTGTTCTTATTTCAATATCGATGTATTTGAAATTATTCCATTGCATACACTGAATATAATCCATTTATAAGACTGTTCTTTGAGGCTTTAAAGCCATATCTGCCTTCTAATAAAGGCTATTTTTTCCTAGCTTAGGGGCTAACAATCGCAAGATTGTGCCTACAAGTTGGAAGGATACCTAAGGCAGAAGCCACTCTGAGATTACCTAGGACAGGTCTATTAAGTTGTTGCTTTGTGTTTGAATCTATTGAAATTTTTAAAGAGATTGACATGATGAGCTAAGATGTAATGAGAACAAGGATGCTTTTTGATTGATTAATGAAGATAGTGTCATTTAGGCTTGTCTTTAATTGAACACTAGCTAGCCTTTTGATTATGTGGTTCTTCAAAGTGCACATGTATAACTCAATGTTCTTCCACATCATTTAGCAATATGGCTAGTTCACTCAATTTAATTAATATAGTGTTGATTGACCACAGAAAATGATCGTAACAAATAATTATATGGTTTTCTTGGATCTGTTCCTTAGCATACAAAGTTGGCTTCTTTATTCAATTTGGCTATTTAGGACAAAGAGCCCATTCCAACCAACTCAAGAAATATATCTGACCTTAACTTTTGTGATCAAGAATCAAGTTAGAAATTTGTAATAGTTTATCTTCTATTCGGATGATGAGTTATTATCAAATGGACTTTATCTACTCTATTTTTTGAGTAGTTGATTGAAATTAACTAATTGATGCCGGTGAATCACTTTTTCACAGTTGGCAAGCCACTTGCGGCAATTGAACCATGATTTATTCAAGTTGATCATTTCAAGGATCTTGCTTGTAGTTTATGGCAAATATTGCAATTTTATCATGATCTCATCATGTCCATGACTACATCTAACAAGTTTGAAGTGTCATGGTGATTTGTGTGTTATTCTAGTCTGATGTGAAGTTCCTTACATTACTGTTTTGTATGATTCAATTGTAATCAAAAGGCCATAAATTTCATATGTATTTAATGCATTTTACTCTTAAATTTTGCCATGTAGGGAGGGTTAAATATTTTGAAGTTGACAAGAAATCATATAAAGATGAAAAAGAAAAAATGTTATGTTATCACAAATAAATATTTAAATAATTAGATCTAGTACCCTGTTGAAATATATTTTTCAGGCATTATGTGAAGAAAATAGACATGATCAAGTATCTAACTCATGAATGAAGGTTTGAATCATTAGACCTAATGCTTTCTATTGTTGATATATATTTATCAGGCATTATATGAAGAAAATAGACATGATCAAGTATTTAACTCATGAACGATGGTTTTAATCATTAGATCCAGTACTTTGTATTGTTGAAATAAATTTTCAGGCATTAAATGAAGAAAAAATATTATCATCGAACACATATTTGAGAAGACAAATGAGGTCAGAATAAAAGTACAAGTTTTTAGGAGGAAAAACCAAGGAGAGAAGATGTGTTGACCCACAAAAGCACATGTCAACCTAGACTTTTCGGGGAATGGTGGGGTTTGGCGAAGAGTATGATGATATCCGCCCCCGTTTACGTAACGGATAGTCCTCATGGTTAAAATCCTTTAACCACTTCCTCGGGCTAGTATCGCTAACCTTCTTCCCTCCACTCCTGGTTCACGCGCGGTTAGGTCGAGTGGGAGGTGTGGTGCTGTTCCTAAGGAGTCGCTCGACGTGCTGAGGGGAGGAAGCATCATCATCGGTGGCGGAGGTGGTTCCGTTGACATGGCGTCGACAGCTGAGGCAGCACAAAGCAGACAGCAGCAGGGAAGGCCAGGCGGGGCGCCGCCCCCGCCTAGAGCGGGGCCACCTCCCTCCGCTCGTCCCCGATTCGAGCCCGTAGACCGTGAGAAGGTTCGTTCCTCTGCATCCCTTATTGCAATATTGTTTTTTAACCTCTTTAGATGACCGAACGTGGGCTGTTTCGTGGTCTTTTCACCTCGTTTTTATGTGATTACGTTGTTCTATATACGTTTCCGTTTTCTCTCAAGGTTTTAGGTGTCCGTTTATGGTTCAATGTTTGAGGCTTGGTGGATAGGAAGGCTCTTTTGGGAGATGATGTTGATACGACATCTTGGTTATCTCTTCCTTGCGGAGCAACGACATTCTTTTGTTGTCTCACTGCCTTCTGGGATATACCTGTCTTTGAACTATAGCGGTTTATAGTTCAGGTTGATATCGATTTGTATTTGACGGTTTATCTCCGTTTTATTTGGAAGCTATGACTTTAGTCTACATTCTCGCTGGAAGGACGAAATAGCTAATGGTAGGGAAAATATTTTCTTGTGAAACCAGTTCGATTACCGGAAAATATCCTGATATAAGGGAATCCTGTGGGTTTAATATTTATGTAAGAACTGTCTTCCGTGGACTCCTCCCAAAGCCTCAACACCCTGAAGGTCTCCGTAGTTATCATCGATATGAAGGCTAATCTTACTCATTAGACCCAGACTGAGACTTTAAGGGTAGATTCAGAGCTTGACACGTTGGTGGCCAGAAGTCAAACCCTATTTCGCCTAGTCAAAGTATAGAAAAACAATAGATTTCAGTATTTATGAAAGATGCCAAATCTGTGGCTAAAGTCAGTCAGTTAGTAGTGATGGTTCTCACAAAAAGTACAGGTGAAATATGAATTCTGATAGAATCTATAGCATACTGAGATATAATGACGTTCAAGGTTTCACATACCCTAATGTATAGATTGCATTATCTGTCCTGCGTTGGTGTGTCTTCATTGAGAATGTGACAAAGGGGACGATATAAGGCTGACCTAATAATAGGCTGGAAAAAAATTATGGTGCTATTATTCCTTATGATAATGAATCATGTTCAATCATCTCCCACATGCTAGCCGAAGACCACACTTCTATGGATCTGGGCGAATAACTTTACCACACCTAATGAATGACAAAGGGGGACATTGTTGGCATAAATGTCTTTTGTAGAAGGAATTGTGTTTTTTATTTCTTTCATAAAATGTTAATATTCACTTCCTGAGGGGGACATTCGCCAAGAACAAGACCCGATTTGTATTCCAAAACTCTCAGACTTTTGATCTTTGATCAAAGAAGAACATCTTTGGCTGTCCACTCTAAAGAACCAATGTCAGTATCCATTCAATCTTTGGTTCTATTTATATTCATTTGGAAAAGCTTAAAAGACTGCTCATTTGACTTAACTTTATTCTGCAACTGCTCCAATATTTCACATTATTTGACCGTTTGATGATAGTGCATGCTTAGCTCTCAACTCCAGATAGTATCATCTTGATCGTGTGTACTTTGAGCGACATTCAGTAGTGGACGAAATGTTTGTTTCTTATGGTGATCTCAGATAACTTTTAGAGGGACAGGGTTAGTTAAAATTGTAAGGCAAGTTGATGGTTGGAAACCTACTCTCATGATTTATTGTTGAAACTCAACGAATCAAAGTTTAGCTGCTTTTTGAAACTCTTGAGTAGGACTAGAAAGCAGGGAGAAGTACACCACAATCATATGCAATTTCCATGGGTTGTATATCAGCTGAGAGATGACGGCCATTTTTTTCCTCAGCTAACTTCATACTAGAACATCCTCATGAAGTACATATCACCTGAGCACAGTGTAACTGTTTAATAGGCTTTTCTCTATTTTTTTTCTTGGTGATTTAATATTTTCTTCTACGTTATGATTGATCTCTCCTAGAATAGGGCTTTTGTAGGTTGATGATATGTCTGTTTTTGTGGCGCTCTAAGAGATCTTATCTTCTAACACCATTTTTTGACTTGTTCCATATAATGGCTAGGTTTTCAGCATCGTCATCAGTTCCGTAGATAGAATTTTAAAAAAGTAGCAGGCACTGCTTCTCGGATTTGCTCTTTAATTTTGGTGATGGTTGATTGACTTAGAAGGTTTCTTCTTTAAGGCTTATGTTCAACAAAACGCTGTTGAAGTCCATTCCCAATGGTCTGTGAGGAAATTTAGTGGTTTCGAATAATTTCTACAACAAGGACGATGTTTCTGTCGTGATAAAGTAGCATAATGTCTGTTTTAGTGATGCTGTTATCATACATAGTGTTTAGGCAAGTGACAGTTTGTTTACTTTTTAGTTCTTTAAACTCGTTCTTCACACTAAGGCAATTTTGTACTTCTTTTTAGATTTTTTGCAAATGGTGTTACCATGAATTTTTCCTTTTTAACTATTGTTACTAGAACATTTAAACTTCGTTCTGACATTCACCTTAAATCTCATGTTGCGTTATTGCCTACATATTGCAGACGTGCCCTCTATTGCTTCGAGTTTTCACTAAGGTACTTGCAGCTTCTTCAAGATTGATTTACTGATGGATCATTCAGGTGCACGATTTGAAACAAAATCAGTTGTATGACGTCTATTTTGATTACGTGCATCCTCGTATTTCCAGACAATTAGCTAGATTGTGTTGAGAATTCACTCTGGCAATTTACTGCGTGGCTTTATATGAAAGCTGCAGTAGGTATATGGTCCTTATTCTGCTAAGAAAAGGAGGCTCCATGAGAAGTATGACGTCGCACTGTAGACGTTTTGCCAATGATTGTGCTCAGTTCCTCAAATTTCCTATGTATTGTAATGGAGAGTCACAGAAAGGGAAATTTCTGTAACTAGGGTCTTGGTGGCCTTTACTGTTACTATGGTATTTCCACCTAATGAGCCATTATCTTGAGGCATTTTCTTTGAATAACTTTTTTTATATTCTCATTCCATTTATAGTAAATGGTGGCTTTAAGAATGTAAACTGAGGGTAAAAGGAATTGCTTTCATGTCTTAAAATCTTGTAGATGGAACAACATTTATGTTTTCCTTTTTGGGTCTTTTCTGTAAAGGATTAAGAACTGTCTTGTGGAAAGTAGAAATGTTTCTATTGCGAACCCCATTTGCTTTTTCGTGCTATGATTCATTCCTTCTGTGAAAATGCGTTAAGGCTGGTTCTATGCTGAATTGTATTCTCAGCTTACGCCTTATTACTCATGCCATGTCTTTTTCTATGCTAAACAAGTAAAAGGTTAACTACTATTGACTTTGAGAGGTCGTGGGAAAAACTCAGAATTTAAGTTTTCTTCGTGAAGTATCTACATGTTGAAGAGGGTGTCAACTTATTTTAAGTAAGGGCAATAGACCAATTCCGATGGTTCAACGTGTTGGTTGAGGAAAATGACAGGAGGAAGGTCGTCCATCTATAATCTGTGACAGATCTTGGATTATGCTTCTAATTTAAGTGTTGGGTGGAAGGGTTGACTTTTTTGAACGAAATATGTTGGGATTAGTCCATCGCCAATGTCTTTGTTCCCCCCATGTTATTGGTGTGGTCTTCAGGATCCCTCCTTTCTCTATCTTCAGAGGGGCTTGTCATGTGTGATTGTGACTGAGTTAGGGTTTTCTTTCACAATGTGAGGATCACTGTCATCCCTTTCAAGAGGTTCTCAGGTGATCTTCCTCATTCTCTTTATTGTATTCAATACAACAGGGTTGCAATAATTTCATGGCCCTCATTTGCTGGATAGACTCAGGCAATTACGCTTTTTGGAAGCTTTTCCTTATTCAAACCAATACAGCAGACCCGCTTAACAACATGCAATTAGTTGGCCAATTTTCTTTTTGCTAGCTTGCTAATGAGCAGGACACTCTTCCAAACAAGAGCAGATATCAGCCACCGCGTCCAAAAAATGATATTTTATCTCCTTCTTGGTTCTTTTCGAACATTCATTTTTCTTGTCTTTCATAGATTGGTGGTCACCATGCAAAGGAGGAATTTGCCATTAGAGGGAAGGAACCGAAAGATGAAGTCCAGATTTACACCTGGATGGATGCAACTCTTCGAGAGCTGACAGATTTGGTAACAACCGTTTCCTCCTTTTCCATTGATTTTAGGTACTGGTTCGGCAGCTGACAGATTCGTTTTCAGGTGAAGGAGGTTGCTTCTGCTGCAAGGAGAAGGGATGCAAAACTATCATTTGCGTTTGTGTACCCTGATAAGCAGGGACGCTTTGTGGTCAGACCGGTAAGAACACATCTGTCATGTTTCGGATTTGCCAAGCATTTTCGTTCTTGTTGTTACAAGTTTCATGAAGATTGCTATGCACATAACGCACTCCTCAAATATGAAGGAAGATGTTTTAGTTGCTTGTATCTAGCAATGAATCGTCCACGCTCATCTCTGGGGATAGGTAATGTAGGGAGCCAAATATCTATTGTTGGTTTTGGATCAAGGAAGGTGTCTGCATGGCTGCAGCTTCAGGTTGATCTCTTGTTTTTGTATGCAAAGGTGAAAGTAGCAGTAGCAGCGTTATATTTTCAGGGTTGTTGGTGTTCAGAATTATTGGTTCAGATTGAAATCGGCCAGCTTTCTCATCCGTTATTATATCATTGATCAAAACGGATGAATATCGAAAGAAATGTATACTAAAATAAATGGGTTTTTGTGCTTTGCTCATGATGTAATATGTTTAGTCTAAGTATCATGAAAATTTGTTTTCTATTTCCTTTTAACAGTTTCACTAATCGATCTGTTAGGAATGTGTAGTAGTCTTCGGTGATCTGAATCTCACGATTTGATAGCCGACTCCAATGCTTATAAAACCTAGATGCCCTCTTCTAGGGCCACAACTTGTGGGATGTTAAATTATTTCCTTTTTTGTCTATTTTGTAGAAACGATCAGGGCCGTGTGTGATTCAGACAATGAAATAGTCTGCCAACTTGATAGGAACTCGACTCTGGAATTTACTTAAATTACATATAAAACCCTATGCCTTTAGAAAGTTTTCAAAAAAGGAAGGAAAAGATTGGAAATTGATGGATCTCACTTGGATCAGATGATATATTTCGAGACTGATGTGAAACTCCAGTGGAAGACAAGACCTAGGCGAAGAAGAACAGAGAAAACGTGGGGAATAGGTTTGTAGCTCTTCATAGGAAGAGCTGAAAAGAGATAAGAAGCAAGAGAAAAGAAACAAGTGGCTTTCTTGATTTGGAAACTAATTGAAATGTCTACGTTTAATGTTTTGACTTGGGTAAGTTTGCTATTTTTGGATTCGTTTTCCCAATCGAATCTTCTCAGGCATTGCAATGACTCCCCTGTATCCATGACCTGGTCCTGATTTGTCAACGCTGCATACGAATAGTCCACACTTTCCAAGCTTCAAAAGTCAACTGTAATCACAAGGCCCATATCAGCTATCAGTCATCTCGTTTTCATTCTCATTCTCATTCTCAGACACGGGAAGATTTCCAGAATATAGACTGGTTCCTGTCATCTCATGTTGCATTATCCATATTTTTTCCATTAATTAGTTCCTGTAAGTGACCACAATGGTTCTTATTCCATTTTTAAACTGCCACAAGCTTAAATCATAAAGCTTATAATAGGTATAAGTTATCCAGTTGGCCTCGCCTCCTACCCCTGCTTGCTATCATAAGCTGCTCCGTCGACTAACCTCGGCTCTGACTTTGTCTGCAGGTCGGCATGACTTATTCGTACCCTGGAAATGGGAGACGACAAGACGACATGAAGACCTTGGCCGAGCTGGGCTTTCAGGCACGTTCAACCTAATCATTTCCCCAATATCGATCTGTTCATTAATTAGCCCATATATTCGCTCATCAATCTCTCATCTTGGTTTTTCTCTAGATTGGAGACTATTTGGACGTGGGCATCCTGTAGAGGCCCGTGGGTGGGAGCAGGACATCTCTCGCTGCTTCGGTTCTTCAGAAGCCTACAGCTGACTTTAGCCCTTGCGTTGACAAACTAGTATCTGTAGAATGTCAACTCATGATAGTGGGTTGACCCAGTCTGTCTGCATCGCGGTACCATGTTTTAGCATAAATGCTCGATGAAACCTACTACAGTCAGAGGAGTAATGAGTTGAATGGGTAGATTCCGTTTTGATTATTTGAAGGGCAATTCAGTCAATTCACATGAGATATGTCAAGAACAGGGTTTGCAGCCACGTGTCGCTAGGATGAGCCATCTGCGCCGTCGAATGATAATCTCTGGGGGCCCGAAGCCCCGTGAGTGAGAGCAACCAGAGAGGTCGTATCCCCGGCGCACGTGGGGTTTGGTCGAGGGAATCGTCCAAGTTGCCACGTCAGATGAGCAGGTGATTGGACTGGGACCCCACGATCGTCTTAAACGGCCGAGGTTCAGACATGTGGCAAGCTAGGTGGAGGGGGTTCAGTTATATCAAAGCATCTCCGCCACCCTCCACCCGTTCGCGATTTCCGCTGATCGCTGCCCGCGGTTGAGTTCACTTGCCGATACTCGTCGTTGCAGGGGGAGGGAGTAGGAAGGGGGTAGGCATAGGGATTTGACGAATGGCGATGAAGGCGGTTGAGTGCTGTGGCAGCTGCCGTGGCGGCGTGCTTAAGCAGCTGAGGGGGATCTCCACGGCAGCGCCAGTGGCCGCTGCTTCATCGCCGGCGGCGATCTCCTTCCCTTCCGCCTTTCCGTATAGGACATCTCTCAAATTCTTCACGAGGACGTCCCGACCAGTCAGGACGCCTTCTTCTTCAACTCTGATCTCGGCTGCAGCCAACACGGTGACCGAGACCGATGGACCCAAAGTCTGGCCTCGTTCTCTCTTCTACTCTCTATTCTCTCTCTCTCGCCTTCCCCTCTTATATCTGCCGCCCTATTCCTCCATTTTCATTTTTGTTTCTCTTTCTCTGTTGTGTATTTTTCTGTACGTTTTTAAAGTTATCCATTGCAGGTCGTGTCGGTGCCTACAAAGCCGTACGAAGGGCAGAAGACGGGGACAAGTGGACTCCGGAAGAAGGTCAGTTGAAATAGATGGTCATTTCGTGTTTTTATTCCTCTTGATTCCGTTTTAAATTTTCACGGATTGCCTGTCTTGAATACTCCTGATCGGCTGTGAAGGTCAAAGTCTTCCAGCAAGAAAATTACTTAGGAAACTGGATCCAGGTAACTTTTTTCCTTTCTTTTTCTCATCTTATTTTCTCAGCCGGCATTATTCTGATCCGAGAGCAGGACTTTTTTCCTCAATCCTTCTATGGGTGTCCATTTTTCTTTTTCTCTGATGACCCGAGTTTTGCAGGCATTATTTGATTCATTGTCTACTGAAGACTACAAAGGCAGTGTGCTAATTCTAGGCGGCGATGGGCGCTATTTCAACCGGGAAGCTGCGCAGGTTTCCCTCTTTGACCTCTGGAATTGAGATGGTCACTCTTTTTGAGTTTGCATTGCCTGATATTTTTCAGATTATCCTCAGCTATTATTCTGATAGCGGGCTCTCTCTCTCTCTCTCTCTCGATTTTATTGAGAGAATGTGAATGTAATGCTGTTTGACTATTTATTGGTTACAGTTCGAAAGTTTCTTTATTCTGCTTTCATACCATTTCTCAATCTTTACATGCAGATAATTATCAAAATTGCTGCGGGTAATGGTGTTGCGAAGATACTTGTTGGCAGGTGGGTCAACTTATATATTAATTATCTTGGGCCAAAAATATATATATAATCGCCATCAATTTCTCAACGGTCGGGATTTGATAATATTATCTTGACCATCTCTGAAAAATGTCTGCAATCGCTGATAAATTCTCCATTCATGAATCCAAAGATTTGGCCCTCGCACTGGATCTTTGGCTTTTGGGTGATTTGCATCACCTTGAAAAACATGTTTGCTGAAAAATTCAAGTGGCCTCTTACTGTTCTTGTCCCTTTCTCGCTCGTGGCTGTTGCCGGTCCCATTCCTGCTCTTTTTGCTCTCTTTTCTAGTTTATTTGATTGTAGTATATTTGGTGGATTGTTTATCAGATCGCATTCATCTCCTGGCGTTGAACTTCAAATTGAAGTGCTTCTCCACCCAGACCTTGTTTTGTATGGTTCACCGGAACATATTTATCCTATCGACTGTACCGTGGACCAACGTCACCGGCAATCAATGGGCATTATACAAGTCACGAGGCAGAGCATCCATTTGGTATGTTCTACAACTGGATTCCGTAAGTATGAAGGGACTATCTAGGAGTCGAAGTTCTACCGGCAGAAATGTGTGCCTGGTATTCAGATGGTCTAGCGTTCTGGTCGATTTTAGACTGTTACCACTCTGACTTGTAGTGGGTACAGTCGAGATATTCAGAGAGAATGGTGGGATACTGCTCCATAAAAAACAGAGAGAAGGGGTGGCTCGCCGATGTAGAATGAAGGAAAAAACCGTGACTGGAAAGAAAAACCAAGACACTCGCTTCCACAATGAGAGTTGACTTGGAAACATGACTACTGGACTAATTTATGTTGGAGTCATGGGAAACCTATCCAGTGGCATGATCACTATGAGCGGAGCTGGTAGACCAATCTACAAGTGGGTCTAAAAAAAATGCCTTATTGAGTGAATTTTCTGTAGGAAACGAGAGAATTGGATTAGAAGAATTCGAGATAAAATCGTACTTAATAAATATCAAGTGGTCCAAGATGAAGATTATGGTATAGGAAGCCAGCTTGCTATTTCCATTTTGTTAGGAAAAAATGAAGGTCATTAGGATGAGGCAAGTTCACTGATGTTGTTGGTGTGAGGATGTTGCAAAAACTAATGTTGTGAGAACAGTGAGCAAAAACATTTGAACTCAAAGCCTATTTTGCGTTTCTCTCATCTACTTTCAAAGCAAGGTATCTCTCAAGTAGTTGTGTATTTCGAGCGATACTGTCTCTCAATTAATGAAGGATGGCAGACATTTGCTGGCTTTCGATCAGCAGAACCATATGTGAAACCAGCGAACGTACACAGATTTAAATGAGGGAGTTTTGCATTGAGTTTGATTCGTTTCCTATTCAAAAGCTTCTGTTAGATTCCTTGAGTGGAAGCACATTATGCCACGTTGATTATTACAAAATAACTGATAAACTGTAGTGTATCGTATTATAATGAACGTTCAAACGAAAAAAGGATTATTAATTAATTCCAGTTTTTCCTGACTTGAACTTAACTGAGATCACTTGTTCTGATGTTCTGATGTTCCCTAGTTTCGTCGTCCCCTAGTTTTGATATCCTTGTGGATTAGTTGAATCAGCCGCTACATGTCTGAATCAAATTAAGAGTGAAAAATTGCCTGTGAACATCCTTGTCTCGGTCCTAAATGGTGCCACATGCATGCAGCCTGCAGCTATTTTATAATTTTTTACGTCACAACCGTATGGTTAATGAGAAAATATACATCTGATATATATATGTATACATATAAGGTCAAATATTAGGTTATTAAAGTGTTATTAAAGAGATATGAAAATTTTCTGTCGCATATAATTAGGATACAAATAAAGATATACAATTTTGTATTCCCCATCTCCTAGACTTTGCTTACAGTAAGGTCCACTCTTTAAAACCCACTCAACTTGCTCATTGGCTTTGGCAGCAGAAGTGGTAATGCCAGAGGGTAGAGGTAGCTTCTCCTACCAGCAATGGAAGTGGCGATTGCTGTGCCAGTGGAGGGAGTAGTTTCCACCAGTACAAGAGATAGGAGACCAGGGAGTTGTCAGTCGATGCTGATTCTAGCATATAATTATCATCGACACTGCTCGTTTCTTCATGACATTCCTCTTTTCTTCCTTTTTTATCCTTTTGTTGAACAGTCCATCTCATGGTGACCTTTAAACTTTGAGAAATACTACTGGCTTTGACGTGCGTAAAATGACTTCTATGCATATGTGTGGAATATTGCTTAATGATTTAGGGTGCGTAGGTGGTAAGTTTTGATTTTGATCCAACCAGTCAGTAGCCTTATTTACAAACGACTGTGATAATTCTCATATAGTAACTCTAAATGATGTGTATAAGCACAGTATGATTATAACACATTTCTAATGACCCTCTCTAAGCATTGCACTTGGAATTTCCAGGGATGGTATATTATCAACCCCAGCTGTTTCAGCGGTCATTAGGAAGCAAAAGGTAAGGCATTTCGTATCAGCATGCTAGGTTACAAATCCTCATTTTCGTTCCCTATTGTTGACATAATGTTTCTGTCGTAGGCCAATGGTGGTTTTATAATGAGTGCGAGCCACAATCCCGGTGGGCCAGACTATGACTGGGGTATTAAGGTAATGATTCTGGCCGATACTTTTGTGAAGGTTTAGCTAGATTGTACCTGTAGATTGATTTAAATGTAGGAAATTATAGTTCGTTGCACAGTGGATACGAGAATCCCCTAGATGGAAAAGAACCTGATGCATATAATGCCTGTTCTGTGATTACGAAGGAGTAAACTTCCATGGATATATTATGAAACAGACAATCACAGAAAAATAACAAAAAATCTGATCAGAAAGGAGATACGATGGTGTTGGATTTCAGTATAAAAAATTACTCTTTGTTACGAAAATGATATTCGTTTCATTTTAGTGACAGAAATTTAATCTTAAACTTTATAACTCATAACTCATTTATAATTAAACAAATGTGCAAGCGGCACACAGCTTCTGTGAACTACCAGAGAGGTTCATGTTTTAACAAAACATGGGCTAGTAAAGTGGCATTAGTTAGATAGAATGTTAGGTTCTTCTGGTAATATTGAAATTTCCTTTTTCAATATTATTGTCTAATGACTTTTTTCTACGTTGAAAATATTCAGTTCAATTATAACAGTGGACAGCCTGCACCAGAATCCATCACGGACAAGATTTATGCCAACACACTCACAGTATTTTCCTACCCTTCTCTATCTTCATTTTTAATGTCTTCGTATCATTTTATCATTTAGGCAATTCTATTAAGGTACCTGCTGTTTATTTTCTGTTCTCACCGTCTCTCTCTTAACCACAACTTCCTTTGTTGTTTGACAAGAGGTTCGTATTTTGATCTTAAAGTGGGAGGAAATTCAGCCGAGAAAATCAGAAAAAATGACACTAAATTAGTTATCTAAACATATCCAAAATATTTCATTTTTTGGCCAAGCTTTTCCTATCCACAGAGGTGTCATGAGCTCTGCTTGGGGAATCATACTATTGAAAATTAGATGCCGTAATTTATCTCAGACAAGAATGAAAGGAAAGTACATGGGCTTCCTAAGACTTGAAGATGAATTTCTCATTGGTTGCAATCCATCAGGCAGTGATGCGTATAGGCAGCTATGTTTCTCAAGTCTCATTCCTTATAGATAACTTCATCTGGTTTTCAGGGTTTATATTCATTAGTTGTCTTTTTTTTCAGAAAATATGGATTTTTTTCATGGAATCCTTTGGAAAAAGTAGCATAGCCATCAAATTGCCTTGCTTATTTGGCGAAGAGAGTTCTTTATGAATTTTACCCCTTCTTAGTTCTAATAATAGAAAACGGACACCGTGGGTCACCACAGGTTGCCCAAGATAACTTTTAATGATTCCCAGGGACTCCATAAAGGCTCCAAACGGGCTGGACTGGGTGGAGCCCTTATGTTTGTTGTTTCATCCTTATTCATCAGAAATAAAAAACTAATAAAACACTCATGGATAAGGCTGATTCCTTGGAAAAATAAGTTATTCTATAATTATTATCATTTCATTTCATGGCGTAGGATATCCTCTTCATAGTAACTTCTTCATTGTTTTAACTTTTTCAGAAATGTCTGATGTGTATATCAATAGTTTGAGGGTTTCAAAAGCTCCATTTAAAACCCCCACAAAGCCAAGTTGCCCAACTTTACCATAACTATTGAAAAAAGTCATTACGTTTTCCAAAATATCTAACACAATTAAATTTCTAAGAAAGGCTTCACAGCCCGACTGAGGATTACATTTAAAACTTTAAAGTTAATCATCTATAGCCATTGGGGGAATGCTCGTCTTTTAAACATGATACATGATAAATTAGCATACAAAAAAAGCACCATCATTGATATTCTTTTCATTGTTTTATTAATGTCTATGCAAGCGGTGGTATTAATCCAGCTGGGTAGCCGGATCAACTCAACCCTCCGAAAAATTTCATCCAGACTGTTATTTTCTATTTAATGGTCTCATGTTTTTTCTCACCACAATGACCTATGTATAATCCATGAAGCTTTCTTGAGGCAAGGTTTGGTAACTCCAAGTATGGGCATGAATCTACTTTATGTTAATTCTTAGTTTTCTGCATGCTAAGTGTCGACACCTGTCAAGGGGTTACTGAGATATTCGTACAGTTAGGAAAAATGGTGTTGATTCTATTGTATGAGTTTCTATTTCTTTTTAATCTGTTGTCACCTGTACAGCATTGTTGACCATCAAAGTCGTCGACACTTTTGTTGCCTTAGTATTTGTTCTCTCTTTAAATGAATATATTGACTACTCGGTCCAACCATACGGAAAATGTCAGCAAAAAATCTGTCAGCATAAGAGCGAATCTAGTGGAAAAGCTATACATCAGAATTATCGATAGAGTTTGTTTAAAAAATATTTTCTCACATGAAAATCTAGAATGAGGATTAGAGACTCAGCACGCTTGGAATTTATATTACTGTTGTATGTTTCACCACAGTTGTCATCATCTTAAGCTAAACCATTTACAATCCTCTCTTCTTAGGAATAAGTTTTTTCGAGGGTTATCTTCCTCCTCTCTATATTCTAATTTTTCTATTTGAAATTTAATGAAATTAAAACTGCAGATTTCTGAGATAAAAGCAGCAGAGATTCCAGATATTGATCTCTCCCAAATAGGAGTTGTAGATTATGGAAATTTCAGTGTTGAAGTCATAGACCCAGTTACTGACTACTTGAAGCTAATGGAGGTAAGTGTAGAAAAGTACACAAGCGAACTTTTCAACGCCTGTTTTGCCTTTTTGGGCAGCCTTTAACTTGGATTTTTGTCTTTACCTTGAAATGCTGTGTGCAGAGTGTGTTCGACTTCGACCTTATCAAATCTCTTCTCTCCCACCCTGAATTCAGGTAAGAAGGTGAAGATCTTGTATGCATGTCTATATCAAATTTCATATATTATATATTTAAATGTGTGTAATGATAATATCAATGGCATTTGTCCATCAAAACTTCTGCATCTCTCAATGAGTGGTAGTGTCAAAATCTAGTGTGTAGTTTCTTTCTTACTTTTGGGTTCCTTTTCTTGACCAAATTTTTAGCTCAGTTGGGTAATCTATTTTTCAGTCACTTCATACAGTTCCTTGGTTATGCTGAAATTTAGACCCTCGATTCGATTGGCAACCCCTCAAAAATCTACTTGATGATGCTGTCAAGCTGACGGTGGTCACAGAACTGCAGTGAGCCAACACGTCCCCTAAGTTTAGATGCACAATATGATGCTCAATTGGGGGATATCATATCAGTGACAAGAGTATCTTAGAAGGGACTCAAATCACCACTTGCTACGTAGAAATATTTCTCCCAGAGAATGACTCCCCGTGGAGCACTCAATTCCTAATTGGTCGAAGGCTGCTCTATGTATTAACGGACACTGCACTATTCTTTTTCTTTTTTTTTTCACTTTATCTCCTCACCATGAGCCTGGAAGAAAATAAATAAGTGAAGGACAGGAAAAAGAGAAAGGGACTCGTGGAGCTGGTGGTGCTTCTCCTCAAACTGACTGCTGTCTGTATTACCTTACTTCATACCATGACCAAGTATGGCAATACATAGTTACCATAATTTAGAGGAACAAGAAACCTGGTTTGCTGGGGCAGCATTTTTTACGGTAAACATGACGCAACCCTAGGATGCTATAAGGAAAATACATATCAATCAGGTTACAGAAATTGAAGGCCTAGAAACCATGACCTGGAACCACAATCACTGAATTAGATGGTATATTAATCGTTTTCTGTAGGAACTAAACGGGGCATGGGGTTGTCTAAATGGAATTGTCATATTTTTGAAGTTTGATGACGCACGTTTTTTCAGCTAAAATAGATTTCATTTCGGACTAACTAATTTTCATAAAATAATTTCCAGGTTTGTATTTGATGCAATGCATGCAGTTACAGGTGCATATGCTAAACCAATATTTGTGGATAGACTTGGTGCTGATCCGGTACATACCATCTACCTTCCAAGCATTGAGGTTCAATAGTAGAAGATGAATAATGCATTTCATTTTAATTTGGTTCTCGGGATATTATGTAGGGGTGTGTGATAAATGGTGTGCCATTGGAGGACTTTGGGCATGGACATCCAGATCCTAATCTTACGTAAGATTGGCAAACTTGGTTCCATTTTGTCTCTTTCTATTGTTTTTATTCATGTCTACATTGTAACAGTTATGCTAAGGAATTGGTCGACATCATGAATGGTGAAAATGCACCCGATTTAGGAGCAGCTAGTGATGGTATGTCAGAAACAAAGTATTAATTTCTGTATTTTGGCTTAATTAATTTCTTTATTAATGTTATTTCACATGAAAAGTATACATTTTTTTTTATCTGTGATTTGGTATTTTTCAGAGATCTCTGTGTATAATTCTTCATCTAGTAATCACCCTGATGCCAGTAATGCTGATAAGTTGTTATCACCCAGTTACTATTTCTTTTTCATTTTTCATTTTCATGTGCCTTGAATTAAAGTGTAGAACAGTTTGAACGATTAGGTTATAAATCCTATACAGCCACCACTAAAATCACTGGGCTTCTCTCTTAGAACCTCCATAAAATCAAATGATAATTTGAAACCCATCCTTGCCTGTTTTCTCATTCCATGCCATAGAGGCTACTGACTCAATTTCTTCGGTCATCAATGGTTTTGAAAATTCCTTAGTTTTCCTCTATTGAAACTACAGTAGAAATTTTTCAGCTACTTGTGATGACTGTGGCCTATTCTTCCCCTCAGTGATATATATCTTGCGACAGATGCCTGTTGCGTCTTCTTATGGAGTGAACCATTGATCCTCATTCCTCAGCTTCCAAATCATATATATCCTGGTTATCGAAGTCACTCTACAGTAATAAGGTCCTCATCTGTCACATTATTTTCAACATCTCTCACGTGACTTTTGCTTCCAATATAATTCCTTCTTATCCAGTTGGTCAACATCTCTCACGTGACTTTTGCTTCCAATATAATTCCTTCTTATCCAGTTGGTCAACATGGTCAACAGGGAATTTTTCTATAACAGCCTGATGCTGGTGATATCGAAGGATTTTGTAATCCTTCAAGGCCCAGAAAGTGCAAGGCCGCTACTTACAAAGGATTTCGTCCATGTTTTGTCTGAAGATTGAGGAAATATGGGCATTCATTGAGATAAATGTGACCAAGGCAAGAATTAGTACGCAAAAAAATTATGTTATTGATGGAAATATAGAATGCCAAACGACGGGATTGGCTTGTAGTTAGCCGTCTACTTTCTTCTTTACCATCATACAATCATGTCTTCTCGTCAAATCACATTGTAGCCTACCATTGATGAACTGGCCTCCAAACTTCTACACAGTTTGCTTTGTTAGGAAACATCCAGTGAATGAATCTCTCAAGAAGTTTGCTCTTTATCTGCTAACTTATGGCCCGTGGAATGAAGAAAACCCTAACTTTTACCAGGTGATGGCGATCGGAATATGATCCTCGGTAGTCACTTCTTTGTTACGCCATCCGACTCTGTCGCCATCATTGCAGCCAATGCACAAGAAGCCATCCCTTATTTCAAGGATGGCTGCAAGGTATAGGCCTCTAGCCTTTTGCTGGGCTTCTATGAAATGATACTCATGATACACATGCCTAAATCCACATTATTATCCTGTGGGAGCATTTTCTTTCTTTTCAGGGATTGGCTAGGTCCATGCCAACAAGTGGTTCTTTGGATCGTGTCGCAGCCAAAATGAATCTCCCCTTCTTTGAGGTTTTGTTATTTTTAGACTAATTGGTTCGCTAATATTCTAAGACTTTAAGTCATAAATTTTAGTATCCTTTATGTCTCCTCTTGTTCCTAAGATTATCTTCCATGCAGGTGCCCACTGGTTGGAAGTTTTTTGGGAACCTGATGGATGCTGGCAAGCTGTCCATATGTGGGGAAGAAAGCTTTGGCACCGGTTCTGATCATATTAGAGAGAAGGATGGCATCTGGTGAGGAGACCAAATAGGAGTTCATTTTCTCTGCAACTTTTATGCTTTACCTTTCCTATTTTTATTTTTCAGTCTCTTTTCATGGATGATGAGGGAAGAAAAACTGGATGCTTTCTGCGCAATGCTTTACCAACACTGCATGTTTGTTCTACATAAGTTCTTTGTTGTAATTCTGTGGAATAATTAAGCTCTAGATCCATGAGAAATGAAAAAATTATGGACATTATTTCATGATTACTTAAACTTCCTGGGTCTGTGATCAGTCCTTATATGATGATCCTGAGATTGATGAATACATTAAGCTCTAGATCCATGAGAAATTAAAAAATTATGGGCATTATTTCATGATTACTGAAACTTCCTGGGTCTGTGATCAGTCGTTATATGATGATCCTGAGATTGATAGATGAATTAAGCTCTAGATCCATGAGAAAAAAGAAAATTGCGGACATTATTACATTATTACTGAAACTTCCTGGGTCTGTGATCAGTCTTTATATGATGATCCTGATATTGATGAATACAAGTATAGGCATCATTCAATTCTTACTGAAACCTGATCCTGTCACAGGGCTGTGTTGGCTTGGCTTTCCATCCTTGCCTATCGGAACAAAGAGAAGAAGCCTGGAGAGAAGCTGGTGTCAGTCTCCGACATTGTGAAGGAGCACTGGGCCATCTATGGGAGGAACTTCTTCTCGAGATATGATTACGAGGTAACTATCAGGATCTCCGAGGACATATTTTCTGTACAGGTCGGAAGCCTGAACACCGCTGTTCCTCCTCTCCCAGGAGTGTGAATCCGAAGGCGCTAATCAGATGATCGACCATCTCCGGGAGATCTTAGCAGCGAGCAAGCCCGGCACAAAATACGGCAAGTCTAACCCAAAGCAGTCGTGAACGCTGAAGCCCTCCTCAACCCCTTCTCTGACGCCGTTCAGTCTCGCATTGCAGGAAACTACTCCCTTCGATTTGCAGACGACTTCACATACACCGACCCTGTAGCTCGTCTTCCTCCTCTCTTTTTTCATCCTACTCACTCCTGCTATTGCTGCCAACATCGCTCACGATCATGATCATGGTTTCTGCAACAGGTCGACGGAAGCGTCGCATCCAAGCAGGGCGTTCGTTTTGTCTTTACAGACGGATCGAGGATCATCTTCCGCCTATCCGTAACCCCCCTGCTCCTCAAGCGGCCAACAATTTTCTTCATTCAATCTACGTCGGCGCTCATGATCATCTTCCGCAGGGAACTGGCTCAGCCGGCGCCACGATTCGGATTTACGTGGAGCAATTCGAGCCCGACGCCTCCAAGCACGACGAGGACGCTCAAGAAGCATTGAAGCCACTGATCGGTTCGTGCTCCTTCCCATATATATCTCACGGCTCCCTCTGGCAGCTTGGCACTCACGGGCTGCCGACCCGTCTTGGTTTCAGATCTGGCGCTGTCCTTGTCAAAGCTCAAGGACTTCACTGGCAGAGAGCAGCCCACGGTGATCACATGAGTGAGGCAGGCGCACGCGCAGGCGCTCCCCAATGCCGCCTTATCCTTCCCCCCCACCAAACCCGTGTCAGCCTGTCAGCATCCCCCCTGATACCGTTTATTCACGGTGCGTTCGCTGGACTGTCCTCACCCAGGCGCCCCAGACGGCCAAATAATATGTTGCGAAGTAGGAGAAGAACAGGAAGGAAGAAGAGGAGATCCAGGTAGGCACTGCCGTCGCCCAACGTCACGAAAGACAACGTGGAGATGTGTAACTCAGAGTGGCGTGTGTGGGGACTGCCGCCTGGCCAATTCGCCGCCAGGCGCACAGCCAAAACCAAATGACGGGAACACATCGGAACTCTGAAAGAAAACCCAAACCGATCATCCCGGAAACTTGGAGCTTTCTCAGCTTTCGAAGAAGACGTGGTTGCTGAGACAAATCCGCTTCCGGAGAACTGGCCGGGCGAACTTGGAGAGACTAGTGCACCTTGCGTGCCTTTAGAGGCGATGAAACTGGCGCTGACGACACCTAGAATAACATTTTCGTTCGCCTGATTGTGATCAAAAGAATGTTAATCGCAGTCAATAATTCCCCTTCAGGCACCAAGAGGAAATTACTCCTCTGAAATCAATCAAGCACAAAAAATGATATTGACACAGACGCATACCGACTTCATGTAATCATAGGCACTGACCAATATTAATATCGCAACAAGCAACCGAATTTTTATTTTTAGAAATAGTAGAACACGTAATGCATGCTTCGAAGCCTTACTCTCGATTGACTTCCGATTTATTTTTTTGTGGATCGGATTGATAAAAATTTCGATACGGCGATAATCACCCTAGAAACTTAGAAATTTAGTTTCAAAATCAAACTTCACCAAGTTAGTAACTACTAGTAGCCCACTTTGAAAAATGTAGTTGCAAAGCTCTGCATAACATGGCATCAATCGCGACGACGGGGAACTTGCTGTGAAGCTCTTTCTCGACAGTGGCGATCCGAGAGCCTCACCGCTCTGTGCCATAGGAAAACTATGCTCTGGTCTGTGATTGTTTGCTGCGAGCAAGGCTAGAAAAGAACATCCACGGTGTGGAGTCATCGCTCTAATGGATCGAAGACTAACCAGACGCTGAAATGTAATACGAGGCTCAAGAGGGAGACCTTGGGCATCGGCAGCTTCCAGCGGGGATGAAGCTTCGGAGGAAGTGGCCACAGAGGTCGATTGACACGTCTCCCGCCTCGTAGGAGTCCGCCAAGTGGAAAAGGCGGTGCCCGAGAGGAGCTGGGCTCGGGCGGCAGCCTGTAGGTATCCAGCATGAACCCGAGGACCGCTGCGGAGGGCTCCGGGATGTTGGGAGGTGCTTGTCAGATGGTCGGTCCGGTAGAGAAGGGCGGAGGACGCTGCCGGATGCTCAGAGGTGATCGAGTCGATTTTATTTAAAACTTTGAGAGACCATAATTTTATGAGGGCATAATATAAAAATTATCAATTAATTTCAAATCCATCCTTGGAAATTTGAGGATTATTTTGCCGAGCTTCCATTTTTTAATTTTTCGGTGACAAAGCTTGTAGAGGTATATTTTAGTTTCACCCCAATGAAACGAGGATCATTTCAGAGCACTACCACTTTAGAAATTTTGCATGAATGTACATTCTAAGGTAGTCTCTTATAAAATTGAGGATTTTAGTTAGACCATCATTGTATAGCATCGAAATATTTAACCCCATCTCGGTACATTTATAATTACCCCTCTCAAATATTGATGATAAAAAAATTCAAATCAACTAGAATAAAAATAAATTCAAACCTTGTAAATTGAGGGCTGTTTTCAATAATTTTTATGTGAGAAAACTTTTGAGACATATTTTAGTTATACCCCCCTGTAAAGGAAATGATTCATTTAGTGTACCACTGTCTTATAAATTTTTGCATGTGTATATTCTAAAATATTTCCCTATAAAATTAGGATTCTCATGTCAGCTACTATCTTAAAATATTTAGAAATTTCCCCATAAAATTAAGAGTTCTCCCTCATAAATTTGAAGATTCTTCAATCATACTATCAAATTGAATTATATCTAATATATTTCAATTATATCTTTATAAAATTGAAGACTATTTTGCAATATAACAATTTTATAAATTTTAGGTACCAAGACTTTTTTATGTATAATTTCATCTATGCCCCTATAAATTTTTGATGATATTTATGATGCATAATCATTTTGAAAATCTTGCATGAACTTCGTGTCTCTCTATATTCTATGTAATTGAAAAAAACATATCAAAAGAACAATGAAGGTTTTTAACTTAAGTGGAGAAACTTAGTAAGATATACATTTCGGGTGATAAGGTATTAATTTTTCATGCTCAAATATAGTACAAGCTCTATTTCAGCCCAATTCAAATGGATTAGAGGCCCTAGATGTGTGAAGACATAATTCAGCCCAAATTTAGTTCTAGATGATCTAGTAAGAGATTAGTACATTTGTTAAGAGTCCAAATTTCAATTGCCACGTTTATTGTTAACCACATTTTATTATGTAAAATAATCCCTCTATTATTTAGGACATTCTTATTCATTAAGGACATTTTAATAGAATCACCCTTTCCTTAAGGGTATTCTAACAAAGCCCCCTCTTTTCTATGTTATTTATAACTAGATTTTTTCCTATAGAAAGGTCTCTTTTGTAGCCCTAGGTTCATTAGAGTTTACTTTTATCAATACCACAAAATTTAGCTCTTTTGACCTTCTTCTTTTTCCTATTGGATTATATTATCCCTATGGATTCAAGGAAATTATTTTGATTCTTTTGGAATCAAGATCAAGTCCTTGTTGACTCAAGGGTTGAGTTTATTTTGATTTTTCTAACATCATATGTAGCCTGAATCTTTTCTTCTTCTACTTTGATGTTTTCTACATTTATAATATATCCTTGAAACCCTAAGTTTGAAGTCATAAATTTACACTTATTTAAATTAAATAAATAATTTATTTTCTGTTCAAAGTGCCAAATAATTCATTTTTGTCGATCATCATAACTTAATCTTCTTATGTTCTAATCTGCAGAAAAAATCAATATTATTTATTAGGCGTAAAATAAATTTTTCATCATTCTAGTAGAAAAAGTGATGATTATTTCTACCCAAATGAGTTGCATCTAAATCATATTGTCATAATTTACCCAAAATAAGATGGCATGCATCTACTTAAATCGCAACACAATAAATTTCATTAAAATAAAATTTTCTCATTTCTCATAGAGAATTTATTGGTATCAAGATTTTATGAATCATAAACTTGAAAGTATGAATAATAAAAAAATAATATCTAGTGTCATGATATTCTGGTATACTCTTTGAAGTACTTGACTAATATGAATGATGTTTCAAGGCACACATTTGACCTACCTAGTTTTAATGGCCACTTGAAAATAGAAGAATTCTTAGATTTGATTTCAAAAGTTGAAAGAGTTTTTGAACATATGAAAATTCTTAAAGATAAACATTTTAATCTAGTGCACATAAATTGAAATGTAGATAATCTATGTAGTGGGATCAAAGTCACGTGTTAGAGCAAGAAAAGATTAAATGAAGAATTGGTATAAAGTGAAGAAATTCTTAATGTATATATTTCTTCCCCCAGAGTATGGACAAATTTTATATTAGTGGTATCAAATTATCTATAGGGAAGTAGATATGTGATAGAATATACTGAGAAATTTTATAGACTACCTTTTATAGTTGAATTAACTAATTTTGAATCTTATATGATATTCAAATTAGTAAGTAAACTATCACAAAAATTTTAAGAAAAAGTAGTGGTACATTCATTTTTGAAGTTAAATGATGTTGGTTATGACATCTAAATATATTGAAGCTCTATTAGAGAAATAAAATAGAAAATTCTCATAGTTCTTTTGAAAGATCAAAAATTTTAACTATACCAAAATCAAATCAATCTATTCCTAGTGGCAAAAATTATTCATACAGAAATTCACATGTGCTTAATATTCCTAAATGTTACAACTATAATGAAGAAGTTCATAAATTGAATGCTTGTTCAAAATGTGGTGCTGTGAATTTCACAGAGACAATTGATGAAGATGACCTTGAGGTTGGTGAAGACCATAAAGAAATCCAAAAAAACATTTTGGAGAGTAAAGAACAAAATAAATTTTGTCACTCTCTAGTTATACAAAGATTGATGGACACAACAAGAAAGAAAGACCCTCTTGAAAGTCATAATGGGTTCAAAACAAAACACATTGTTAATAGGAATGTATATGATGTCATTATTAATTTTAACAATAGTGAAAATATTATTTCTTCAATAATCGTATAGAAATTATGACTGAACACAGAAAAATATCTAGATTCATAAAAACTTAGTTAAAGGATTCAAAAACCAAAGTTATAGAGACATATTTAGTAAAATTCTCGATAGTAGTATGATCCATGTATGAGGAGACTTATCCTTATGGTTTATCTCCAGAGGATCATTTGAGCAGACTGTCCTCAAAAAATATTATAAGAGCAGAAAATGGCCATTTTAGTATGGTTAAATCCATACATTCCATTTATAAACTATTAAAATAATACTACGTCTTTTTTACATTTATGATTTGGTCTAGTCTTTGAAGTACCCTGCGATGGAGAGAGATGCTCATGTGCCCTCATGGGCCTGTTGGCCATGGGCATCTGCCCATGCCCAATAGACGCTGCTAAACGCTTGCATGTAAGGATCTGAGGTTGCACGTAACCCTGATGAACAGACACGTCGGACCACATATGCGGAATACTCCCCAATAGGCTCCCTCCCTCTTAGGAATCCTCTTCTTAATGGCCTCTCTCGTTCTTCCGCTCAGTCCATCGAGAAGAGCGTGTCTTTTAGGGAGAGGGACGGCAGGACGGGGGGAGAGAGGGAGGGAGAGGGAGAGAGGGAGAGAGAGGGAGAGAGAGAGAGAGAGAGAGAGAGAGAGAGAGAGAGAGAGAGAGAGATGGTGACCTTGGAAAGAGAAAGCTAGGTGGTATAGGAAATGGGCTCTGGACTTCTGTACCGAATAAGCCTGGACTGGCCTGCCTCACGGCAGTTGTAAGAGCCGCGATATGAACCCAAACTTCATTGTTTATGACGGATACCTTGAATTCAGCCTGTGGTCGGGCCTGAGCTCTTTTGAGAAAACATCTCCGGTCGGGGCCGAGCTGGACCCCATCCTTTACAATATGAAGGGACCCAACCGTCAGGCTGGTCAGCTGGACGTGGCTTACGGAGAAGCCCGTTATTTCGCCGGGCCTGAGCTTCTCAGACTCAGCCCTCTCCGTCGCTGACCGTACAGCGCCGTCGAACCTTCCGGCATTTTCTTTTGCCTGACGTCAACGCGTGTGCAGCTGATCTACCCCTCTTCGGAGGAAACGGATACATGACGTCGAGAATACCAAGGGGAGATGAAGGAAGAGAATGGCTAACCTGTGGGCATGACTCCTTTCTACGGCGGTTTTCGTCTCTCTACCCCTTTCTCCGTAAGTAACCAGAGTCGCCGTACCCTCTCTCTCTTCTCTCTCTCTCTCACTAACTCACACTCTCGCTCTCGGTCGAAGTAGCTGTGCCCCAGGCTAGTTTCATCCTCTCAAACGTCCAGCCCGAAACATTTTTTGCAGTGTGCTTTTTCTGGGACTGAATTATATTCACGTTTAGAGGATACATGAAGGGCACTTTTACCATCACTGGAACGCGCAAAAGTTACAGTAGTGGTTTAGGGCTGGTGAGGTCAAACCTGTGGGAGGCCGAGAATGTGACGTATGGTCGTCGAGAGTGGCGGAATATGTCGAGGGTGGAAGAACGCTGTCGATGACGTCCCTAATGACGAGCGTTCTTGGGAGAGGAAATTCCGAAGGCACCCCTGATGTGTTGCAATAAAAGATCGCCGCCGTTGAGCCTTTCTCTCTCAACGGCCTCGTCCCCTACGGTCTCCTTTTTCTTCGACATTCTTGTCTGTTTGCAGCTGACGATGGGTTCCCGGTTGGTTGCTGGAGCGCTCGTGGGGCAGCTGGGACGCCGGCTTGTCTCCCAACCGTCGTCTCGGATGCCGCTGTGGTGCTCAGCCTTGCGGACTGTTACGACGGTGCCACCACCGGGGAAGGCGGCGTCGGTGGCGGAGGGCGGCAAGGAGCAGGCGGTTGCGAGCTACTGGGGGATATCCCCGTCTAAGGTGACGAAGGAAGATGGAGCAGAGTGGAAGTGGACGTCTTTCCGGGTGAGTTGTTTCCCTCTTCTCCGCCCCGCCGCTGTTGTCGCCACCACCGTCTTCTGGGTTTTGATCGCCATGTTCCTCTCAGCCAGGCGACTCCTATTCGGCGGACCTGTCGGTGGACCTGAAGAAGCATCATGTTCCCATCACCGCCATCGACAAGATCGCTCTTCGGACAATTAAGATACTTCGCGTTCCCACCGACATCTTCTTCCAGGTTCGAAACCGCTCAATTTGATTTGATTCATCAACAATTGGAGACCATAGTGGTGCTCTGAGAAGGATTACTAAGAGCGACGATGTTGGTGCGAGCAGAAGAGGTACGGCTGTCGGGCGATGATGCTGGAGACGGTGGCAGCGGTGCCGGGAATGGTGGCGGGGCTGCTGCTGCACCTGCGGTCCCTACGCCGCTTCGAGCACAGCGGCGGATGGATCAGGGCGCTGCTGGAGGAAGCGGAGAACGAGAGGATGCACCTCATGACCTTCATGGAGGTCTCGGAGCCGCGCTGGTATGAGCGGGCCCTTGTAATCACAGTGCAGGGGGTCTTCTTCAACGCCTATCTTCTCGCCTATATACTCTCCCCTCGCCTTGCCCACCGCCTCGTGGGCTACCTCGAGGAGGAGGCCATCCACTCGTACACCGAGTTTCTCAAGGAGCTCGACGCGGGTCGCATCGAGAACGTCCCCGCCCCCGCTATCGCCGTCGACTACTGGCGCCTCCCGTCGGATGCCACCCTCCGCGACGTCGTCCTCTCCGTTCGCGCCGACGAGGCCCACCACCGCGACGTCAACCACTTCGCATCGGTAACACACACCCTCTCTCCCTCTCTCTCTCTCAATCCATCTTTCCTCCATTAAACCCTCGTTGTGCCCTGTCCTCGCAGGATATACACACCCATGGGCGGCAGCTAAGGGATATCCCGGCTCCTTTGGGATACCATTAGATATCGGCCAGTTTACCAATAAATCGGGTCGACCAGCACCGTCTCTGAATTGAGCTACTCTAGTACAGAAAATGGGCTGTCCATATGTTCCTTCTTCAATGGTGTCCTGGATAGAGATCGTCTCTTGTTTGATGGGTTTGGGTCTGTTCTCTTGTTTGCGTTGCACCAGAACATGTATCACTTGAAAGGCAAATAGTGAATTAAATACACTGAACTTCCAAAGATTTGGAAAGCGCGAGTGATTATTATTATTCGCTTGAAAATTTCGTCTATCGCATTTTATTGTTAGAATAATCCCGGGTCAAGATCTTTTTTTTTTTTAAGGGTAATTCAACATGTAAAATCCTATTTTATCGTGTTTTATTTTTTTAAGTTAACTGTGGGGTCAAGATCTTAATTACATTGGTGATTACGGCATTCAAGTTAATATGAAAACTTGTGGAGATCTTGTAAACGACTTCTAGGCAATAAAATAGAGACTTTAGAAGTCAACATCGTCTAAAACAATCAAGGAAATAGGGTTAGATTTATTCATGAAAGTTACAAGGCACAACTTTGTTGAAAATAAGATATTCTGATGCATAAAGGTAACCCTCAATACAGGCAAGTGTTTGAGTCTTGCACAAAAGTGTTGACATCTGTGAACTAATTGGAAGGTAACATTGATAAAGCGAACCACAGCAACAGGTCAGGGATCAACTCTTACGGGCTAGTTGTTTGTGTCTTCAAGTCAACGTTTTCAAATCCGATAGAGAAGAAGTATTGGCACATGATACACTAAGTGTCACAAGACTCAGGGATTGACACCCAAAATCTAAGGCTTAACTTTTTGACTATTTTGCAAAAAAAAAAAAGAGTCAAAATGAAAGAAACTAGCCATCTGCGGTAGAGGGAAAACTTCTTGTGAAAGGAGTTGGGATTTTGTCTTCGACTCTATTGGATGTCCTTTCAGTTGGTTTATTTCATTCCTCCGCATACTATTCAAACATGCTATTGAGTAAGACATGAGGAGATAATATAACACATAAGACGGTTGACTTGTCCTATGCTCGAGGCAACTCAACCCCCCCCATCCTTTTGAACGTAGAACCTAATACCTAGGTTGGGCCTTTAGAAATTAAGATCAATATCATTTTTATTATTAGATCGATATGGTTTTGATTGTATTCTAGATTGTTAAATGTACGAGCCCTTTAGTATCTTATGTCTCTTCATTAGAATAATGGTGGGCGGAGAATCATTGCACTTTTCAAATGCCAAACAGCCAAATAGGATTGCTAGAGTGAGGTAAGTTGTTTACCAATATGATCCTTGTGTGTAACGAAAAGCAATTCGTGCTGAAATAATAATGCAATGATACAAGGAAATATACTCAGCGCAATCGAGTTTCAAACCTGATTTCTTTCCGATCTTCCAATTTGGTTTCACAAGTTACCTTCCTAAGAAGCACAAACCAGACTTTCTTCTCATTGAGCCGTACTATGCATGCTCAAATACACAAGGGAAAATACAACACAAAAGGATAAGCATGGAGATTCTTCAATATGAGTAAAGCAGATGAGAGTATATAAAACTTGGGGGGAGATTTAGTGAAACGTTTGAGCTTTGGAGAACATTAGTCACTTGATCTTCAAAAGTTGGACTCATGGAAGCCCTCTAAGTTCCCAAATGGTGGCTATCTATCCTTTTCTATCAGTTTTATGGGCCACTGTAATGCTTATGTGTAATCAATGTGTATTCATTATAAAATAAATATTTGAACTCAAGTTCAAATATTTTATCTTCGAATGATTTGCTTTTTAAAGTTAAAATCGGATTACATTAAAGACCAGGAAGAGTTCCTAATTTGATCAGTATGCTAACTAATGCTAAGATAGTTGATGCGATGCAAAGTACTGCTAGTGAGACAGTAAACTCTAGAGCCTAACATCGCTGGTCTCCTCTCACGCACCCTCTTCCCATGTAAGAACACGTGTGGTGGCTACAATAGTCCTACCCAGCACCCCGTGTCTCTAGGAACCGAACCCACTGGCGGCAAGAAGCTTAGATTGATAGATAGAGATAGAGATAGAGATAGAGATACAGAGAGAGAGAGAGAGGACGAGAAATCCCGTCCCGTGGCAAGCAGCAGGATCGGAGGGCGAGAGTAGGATGAGACAGTCCATGGTCTCTTACGTCAGTGCAGAATAGAGGTGAACTACGAGCTTTTCAGCTGGAATTCACCCAAGATTGAATCGGGCCAACCTTCCTTAAAGACGCCACTAGTAAAGAAGTCCTCATCCCCACGGCCCGCAGCAACCAATCAAGAATGATGGGACCCTTTAACGTTTTCCAGCCTTCCCCTTCAACGAAGTCCTCTTACCATCATGGGAGCAAGAGTGAGAGTGAGAGAGCGAGAGAGAAAGAGAGAGTCTCATTTAGATGGAGAAGAGAGATTGAGACAACGCGGGACAGCAGACAGCAAGGGGAGCCTCACGCTCACTCCTCTCCCAAGGAGAAGGCTGCAGCAACAATGGGACACAAGATCTCAACTGATCTATTATTGTAGGCCGTAAACTAGCAACGCCCCAACCGCCGCTAGGCCAGCTACTAGGCCGACAATCACCCCAATTGGTGGCAGGCCGCCGCCAATCGGCTTCCCGGAGCTCACATCGTAGGGGGTAAACCGCTTCTTTGGTGCCGAGCACTGAGGGCAAGCATACGAATCGGGCTGGAAGAAAAACACAGCGATGCCATCAAAAACTGAAAAAAGAGGGTCAGATTCGAGACCCTGTGACTCAAAAAAATCCCAAATCTTCAAGCCAAACGTTGATGCCAAGAACTAGAAGAACATTAGGCAGAACCAGAAATAGAAAGTAAAGTGGTCTGACCTGTTCTTCAAACGGCTTAGGCAGGAAGTAAATGAACCCGCAGTCCAAGCATATGTGTGTTGCTCTAGCCTGCAAGATGAGGATGCCAAGGGCTGTCACAGTGAAAAAGAAAAGAGGAGGAAACAGACATGGAGGCCCCAAGCTTCTATGAGAAGCGTGGATGTGGTGCTACCTTCTGAGCTTCTGTCAGAGTTCGGCCAAATCGAGGTGGAGCAGGCCTCTTGGGCAATCTCTTCACATCAACCTCGGCACCCCTGAATGGTGGAGGGAAGAGCAGTAAACAAGAGAAAGAAGATAGCCTTGTCACGAAACAAATCTCCTAGACGCTGTGCATTTATGTTCTAGTGTTCTTAGTCCCCCTGGCATCCACGACATGGTTGAGAACGCCAGTGAACGAAACCACATAATAAGAACAGAAGCAATCCTTATATTCTTATTCATCTTCTTATGATCTATTATATCTCAGTGAAGCAAGAAGCAAAGCCCAGAAATATCGTTTAAAATAGAACTACAGACTACGTAAATGAATGATAACGAAGATTTCAGACAGAAGGGCTCCATCACATAATTGAACCACGATCCAGTCCATAAATTGGCCGCATAAATTTTTTTCTGTCAGGCCTTAAAAAGAATGCTGCAATAGAATCCAAGGGATTGGGTCTAGGCTGAATCTGTTTACATCGAAGGTATACTAATCTTTTATGGAAAAGAAATGGGTCACAGTCCATACGGACATAATAGGGGCATAATCTATTCTCGCTATTGTTGTTGTCCATCAATCTGAAGACGAGGAGAAATAGTACTTATTTTTTTCTCATTAATTAAAATTTTCCTTTCTTTATACTTTCAAGGGAGATGCTTTTGCTTAAAAAATAAAAAAAAACGCATGCATTGATAACCAAAATGAAGCATTCTAGTTAATGACAACGATCACAGGGGGGAAATGGTGCGGATAACACCAACCTGCTCACAACGAAGTAAACTGAATCGGGCTTTGCTTGGATCGCTGTCTTGGTAAAGCCTAGCTTATCTGCAGGCCAAAGTTCATCACCAAAGAAGCTGCTCGTGTACAGTACTTGGTCTCCTGACTTTAGTCCTGCCCTTGCTGCATTTCCACCAGAGTCTACCGCCTGAGGAAAATATGGCCAGGCGAGACATTAGTCCACAAACAAAATCCTATATCTTTCTATCTATTTATTAATACATAAATAGGCATATATAGACGCACATATACAGAAAAAATACAAAAGTAAGGTCTCCCCGTTGGAAAGCAGAAGAGCTCCAGATTAAAGGAGAAAGAAAAAAAAACCAATGGAACTAAGAAGAAAGAGGGCACCTGGGCCGACAAAATAACAGGAAGAAGAGGGGAGCTAAATATAAGGAAATCAATTATCGCAGAGAATATGTAAGGGCAAGGAAACTCCCCCCCCTTAAAAATAAATAAATAAATCTGAGATAAGACGCTTCGACCATAGAGGACAGAAATTCTCTGGAATGAAATATTGACCCAGAATAAACATGAGGTACCAAGTAAATGCAGCCTCATTTCAGAAGAGAATAAAGATTATTTAGAAAAAATAAAATGCGGAAGGAGAATCCTCCAGCCTGAACATTAAGAATTTCCGATAAAAATGATGTACTAAGTCACTCAGGCATCAGATTAGATGAACGTAGTTGGATGCAATAGCATAACCCAGATTTATCATCGTCTACAGCCTATCATGTCTGCGAAATCTCTACTCAAAGTAGAAACTATTGAATGGTTCTTTTACTCTCGTATCCATGCCTCAGAGGGTTCAGCACAACAGAGCGAGAAGAAAAAGACCCCCATCACGAGAAGTAGAACTCACCGTGATGACGACTCCCCCACCAGCCTTCTGCCCCAACGTCAGACCCAGCGGTTTGTCCACCTCGACCTCTATGTTCTTAGACGCCCCCGCAGTCCTCGCATTGATCTCCAGCCCCCTCTTGCCAGTCCGATTCCTCTCCCCGGTCTTCCTTACCTCCGCCACCAAGGGCGACACTCTCCTCCCGTCCACCAAGGGCGCCCCATAGAACGCCGATTTCTGCTCCGAAAAAAAAGCAAATCACAGACGAGATCAGCAATGCGCCCCAATGAGCCATCACTTTCTTAACCATTTCTCTTCCCTCCTCACCCGGCTCACCTGGTTGAGGGGGACGCCGGCGGGCTTCAGGGAGGGACGCGTCGCGGAGGCGCCGGCAGCCGATGCGCCGGCGGTGGCGGTAGCGGCGGTAGCGGCGGCAGCTGACATCCTCGGAGCTGCTCTCCTCCTCGTGGCATCGGATCGGAGGAAGGCGATGAGGAAAAAGGGCGGACGGGGGCTGCGAGAGAGAGAACCTGTGGACGAGACGAGGCGATGCCGGATAGGGCCGCCCTGTAAGAACACCGACCACTAGCCGTGTGGTTATGGCGGACCCGCATACTGTTGATGGGCCCCAGGGAAAGATAATCGGGCCCAATAAATATGCTCACCCGGCCCATTAGCAACCTTTACCTTATTTTTAGAAGTGAATGATCTTCAGGGCTCTTGGTGAGACCAAATATATAATATTTTTCTAGTATTTTTTTAAAATACGGTATTCCTTTCGCTATTTATTTCGGTCAACAAACGGTTGAGTGGGGTCCACAATCAGCCGACCTTTGACTCTGGGCGTTCACATGGGAACGCCTCCGGTGTTGGCCAAGAGGAAGGTTCGTTTCTCAGGGACGATACCACTCAGGGATCGGCCGTTGACTTTACAAGTTCCCGTGTGATCTTGGTGAGAGCCGCGCGTGCCTGACGCGTGACAAAGCAATTGACTAAGATTATCGTCGCGTTTTTCATATTGAACCGGATAATTTTATTTTGATATCATACCCTTTCAGGCAGCGGAAATACTACCGCAAGAGGGTATAATTATAACACATCAGTAATTGACTTGGTCGTCTTTTACTAGACATTTTAAGAGATCTGGGCATTTGTATAATTCTCCAGACTAATACCTTTCCTCTCTCTCTCTCTCTCTCTCTCTCTCGCTCTAACTCTCTCTTGGTACGTTTGGCGGTGGTGTTTGACCCGCTATAACTACGTTTGGGTATTTACATAATTTACTTCTTGTGGGGGCGCCTTTCTTCTGCCCCCTCCATCTACGGCGCGCCCTCTTCGTAAGTACCTCCACTTTCAGACGCCTCTGAGGCGCCCCAGAAGCCCCTCCTCTGCGCTCAAAAGGATAGAGCGAGAGAGAGATCTAGGAGAGATTGGAGAGAGAGAGAAGAGAGATCGATGGAGGGGAAAGTGGTGGTGGTGACCGTGGTGGTCGGCTTTCTCGGGATCGTCTCCGCCATCCTCGGCTTCGCTGCAGAGGCGAAGAGGGTCAAGGTGAGCGAATTTCCACCACGAGAGAGACGGGGATCTCCTTCATCTCTCTCTCTCTCTCTCTCTCGCTAGAAGTATCCTCGCAAGGGATGGATGATGTCGCAAGCCGATCGACTGCTACGATCATCTCCGTCTTCCCCGGCCGTTTCTCCGAGCTTCTGCCCTAATTGCCTGTTTTTTCCCGACGAGGAAGCCCTAATTCGAGCCTGTAAACTCTGATCGAAGGTGGATCCCACTCGGTTTCGCAGGCTTCTCAAGTGGACCTGAGCAATGCGGAATTCTGCGACTATCCTAGCACGCCGGCGCCGGGGCTCGGGCTGGCGGCCGCCGGGCTGCTCGTGCTGGCGCAGGTAATCATCCACGCCTTCGCCGGCTGCCTCTGCTGCAAGAATCGAACTTCATCCTCCGGCGGATACTGGACGGCGGCCTGGATCGCGTTCATCTTCTCCTGGTAGATTCCTTCCCCACGGAAACCCGAGATTCCGAACAATTTGTCTGTCTGTCTGTCTGTCTGTCTGTCTGTCTGTCTGTCTGTCTGTCTGTCTGTCTGTCTGTCTGTCTCTCTGTCTCTCTCTCTCTCTCTCTCTCTCTCTACTCCATCCGTTCATCGGCCAAATCGAGAAGCTATCATCCTCTTCTGGTAGATTCCATCGTCCTGGAAAACCGAGATTCTGAACAATTCTCCGAATGGGGACTCTCTCTCTCTCTCTCCCCATCTGTCAGTCTCTCCTCCATCCGTTCGTCGGCCAAATCGGGAAGCTCGCTACATTCTTCAGAAGTTATTCTCAGTACTAGATACCATCTTATGCCGATAAGAACTCCGACGCGTTGACTTTCGTGGATTTTCTCTGTTCGACTCAATCTCCATCTCTGGTAGAAACCCTGAGAGCTTGGTGGTTCGATCAATCGGTTGACCCGCCCATCTGCTGAATCTACCCGTCTCGCCCTGGTACAATGGCCCTGGAAACCCGAGATTCCGAAAAACTCTCCTCCTTGTTCTATCAATCTCTCCTCCATCTGTTCATCACCCAAATGTGGAAGCTACATTTCATATGATGAGGGTGAGAAGTACTCCGAAGCGTTTACTTTCGGAGGATTTTCTCTCTCGGATTCCGTCTCCATCTCTGACTGATAAGATACCCTGATAGCTTCGTTGATGGATCCATCGGTTGACCAACCCATCCGCTAAATCTACCCGTATGTTCCTCTGGACGCGCAGGATCGCCTTCGTCATCGGGCTGCTGATGCTGATTTCGGCGGCTGTACAGAACATGCGGCGTGATCATGTCAGCGGGGGGTATTTCATCAGGTACTGCTACGTGGTCAAGCCCGGGGTTAGCGCCGGCGGCGCCGCCTTGGCGCTGACCAGCGTCTTGCTCGGGATCATCTACTACCGTTCGGTGGAGTCCTTGAAGCAGGCTGTGGAGCCCTGGGCACCCCAGCAAGGCCAGGGGATAGCCATGATGGCCCAGCCCCAGTTCCCGCCCCAGCCCGCCTACCCCCCTCCCCCGGCTTTCGTCCATGAAGACACCTACAACCGTCGGCAGATCCCCTGATTCCCTCTCTCTCATTCACTTTTCTCTCTCTCTCTCTCTCTCTCTTTTTCTCTCTCTCTCTCTCTCCCAGAATCAAGGTACCCCCTGTTTCTTGGTGGAGATCACCAAGCCTCCTGTTTGTATCTGAGTGTCCTTGTGTCTCTGTGTAAAATTTCCATTTTTTTGTCCCATTCGCAAGGACTTACTGGGTACTCTAGAGAGAGAAAGATTAGAGAGAGAGAGGGAGAGATTCAAACGAAATGGAGATTTAGCCTTATGAAGCCAAGAATGTCGTTGAGCGGCTTAGTGGAGTCGACCCTGAGGAGACCTTCTTCCTCCTCGTCCACCTGGAGCAGGGCCAGCTGCGACGGCAGCAGGGACGGGGGCATGAAGTGGCTCCCCGCCGATGATCGGAGCTCCAGCCGGGCGGCAAGCACGCTCGCCGGGGCCTCCAGGCAGATGAAACTGACCCGGCAGGCGTTGCGCTGACGGCGGGGGCCGAGGGGCGCCCTGAAGACCTCCCGGTAGCTCTTCTGGAGGGCGGAGCAGGCGACGACGACGGCGGTCTCGCCGGCGGACAGCCGCTCCAGGGAGGCGTCCCGGAGGGTGACCAGCCAGGGTTCCCTGTCGTCTTCAGAGAGGGGAATCCCCTTGCGCATTTTTTCTGCGATGGACGGAGGAGGTGGTCAGAGAAGAGAGCTTCTTCCAGCTTCGGATTCACTTCGTCAACGAGTCTACCACACAGCAAAACGAGAGAGAGAGAGAGAGAGAGAGAGAGAGCGAGGGAAGGAGAGAGAGAGAGAGAGAGAGAGAGCGGGGGGAAGGAGAGAGAGAGAGAGAGCGGGGGGAAGGAGAGAGAGAGAGAGCGGGGGGAAGGAGAGAGAGAGAGAGAGCGAGGGAAGGAGAGAGAGAGAGAGAGAGGAGGGGAAGGAGAGAGAGAGAGAGAGATCCATAGAGAGAGATAGATAGATAGATGGATAGATGGATAGATAGATAGCTAGATAGATAGATAAATGGATAGATGGATAGATAGATAGATAGATAGATAGATAGGTAGATAGATAGATAGATAGATAGATAGATAGATAGATAGATAGATAGATGGATGGATGGATGATGGATGGATAGATGGATGGATGGATGGATGGATGGATGGATGGATGGATGGATAGATAGATAGATAGATAGATAGATAGATAGATAGAGAGAGAGAGAGAGAGAGAGAAGAGAGATTCAATACCTATGTTCGCCTGTGGATGAAAATCGTCACCGTCAAGAAAGGTGCAACCCAGGTTCTCGGCGAGACGCCGACCGATAGTCCTGCAGACGAGGCAAGATATTCTGTATCATGTAACTAATCCAGATCAGACGTCTTTAACGAAATATAATGAATCATTGGAAGGAAAATGTGGGAGATGCCTGCACATTTACACGCCGATCTCATCAAATCAGCGACGAGGAAAATTAAACAAAATGGAGAGTTAAAAAAATACAATCATGAACAGATAAAACATGAAATCACTCGTTTCTTCATTGTGGGAATTACGTGGTGAGCTGGCAGACTTATGGGAGCCCCAAATTTTCCCAATTTTATATTATATTATATTATATTTTTTCTTCCTCCAATTTCACATTAAGTTAATCAGATAAAAAATGCATGAATCGCTGCAGGATCAAGGAAGATGAAGAAACTGGGCAGAAAACCCCCCAGGCACCCTCTATATGAGCTGGAAAAATCTTACGTGCTCCCTTAGAAAAATTGACGAATTCTCCTGCGAGATCTGGCAGCGGAGGAACTATCGTCTTCAGATTCTGCATCTAAGGTTTCTTATTGATCCTCCCTAGATATTATATCAAACATACCCGTTTCAAGCAGGATCCCCCAGGTTTTCAATCCGGTATCAACAGATCAGAACCAAAGGGATTTTGATTTATGAACAGTTAAGTATAAAATGAGAAAAGTAATGAACAAATAATGGTGTTTGTCGGAAGGCTTACGTCTTCCCGGAGCCGCTTACTCCCATGATCACGATGATTTTCCCTGGAGGATCGGCATCAAACTCCACATTCTCTGCAGAAAAACGAACAGATAACTTCGCCGACAGATTGCGCCTGGGATTGGAAAGGGGAAAGGAGAAGACAGCAAAGTAAAGGCCATCCTGCCTCAAGATCCGGAGGATCCCCGACCTCAACTGAGGCAGAACATGGCCGGAGAGAGGCAGATCTCGACCAAGTATCTCCCGTGAAGGGAGCAGATACCGGACCTCTTCCTCCGGAAGCCATCGCCGCTGCGTCTCCTTCTCAACCCGGATTCTCTCTCCCTCTCACTCAGAAGACTCCTCGTAAGGCAAAGCCCGGTGGTGGTGAGTGGTAATACCGACCGGTGAAATTAACCTCCAACCCGGTCCGTCCACGTGTCCCCCAACATCTCTGTTAAAATGTATAAATTAGTAAATTCGGGGATTAGAACATATTTTTAGCGGCCACATGGAATGTAACATAACGCCTTTTAAATTTGGTAAATTTGGCCATGATTTCCATCCAAGAGAGGCTCTCGACCGCGATTACGTCATGGAATGTAACATAACGCCTTTCATAATGAGAGAGATAGAGAGAGAGAGAGCAGCGGATGACAACTGGATTGTGATCTAGCATTGTGTGTGGGCCCCACAAAGTAGCGGGTCCTACATTTCTGACCATCAACTATTGGCCAGATCCCAGTAACCACCACCCAACGGTCTCTTCTCCCACTTGGAGGAATAATCCATGATCTGCAGCGAGAGAGAGAGAGAGAGAGAGAGAGAGAGAGAGGCAGCTGGTGGCTAGTGGGGATCTGCGGGAATTATTGGTGGTGATTTTGACCAGATGGGGATGGAAGGGTGTTAGGGAGTGGAGCTGCTGTGGTCGCCTTCAACCACGGAGGGCGGGGAGGGTGACCAGTGAGGAAAGTACGGAGGCGGACCTTCGGGATATTCCCCGGCTTCCCCACGATTCCCTGAAGCAGTAGTATCGGCCCGGTCTGGCCATCAGCTTGGTTTTCCTTGATTTTTCTGTGTTCTCTTCATTATTGCAATGGTGGATCGAAGGGCGTTCCTATAAAATGCAGGTGCCTACCTTTGTCGTTCCCTTCCCGCGCTCCCTCTCCCTTTCCGTCTCTCTCTCTCTCTCTCTCTCTTGCTAAATGTGTCGTACGCGTCTGATCCTTTCCCAGTTTTAGTTTTGAAAAATCGTGGTGGCGACTGGAACTCGCTTGGGTCCTGCGGAAGCGGCTCGTCCGGTGGAGGAGGGTGTAAAGACGGGGGACGAGGGCGCGCAGAGAAGGGGAGGTAGGGATAATGGCAGGGCTCACGGGGGCCTTGGACGCATTTCTCGCGGCCGCGAGTGGAGCCTGCCGCAGTCCCATCGCCGTCTTCATCCAGATCCAGGTACTCCGGCGAGTTGAATTTTTTCGAGCCTCTTTGACATCTGGATCTGGACAGTGAATGGTGCCTTGGCTTGAAACATTTACAGGGGATTTTTTTCATCCCATTTGAGTGTTCGTAATGTGTTCATTCTTACGATGTGTAAAGAATGTATCTTTCGTGCCCTCTTCTTGACCTTTCGCTATGTTTTTCCTAGATGAAGTAAGCTTTACGCTTGATATGACATTTCCTTCGCGGAAAATTGAAAAAAATGAAAGAACTTTAACAGGAAACTGCTAACGCACTTTTCTCTAATCGGAGCTTTCCTTCCTGAGTATTTTCACCGGAGAAATTCGTCGTTTCTCATTTTCCTGTAACTCATGCTCTCAGGTAATAAATTTAATTTGAACTTATTTTATGTCAGATACATTACCTGAATCAGTGGACATCATTTTCCCGTGTGTTTGGTATTTTTGAGTGGTGAATCATGAGGCAAGTGTGTAGAAATATGACTAACCACGAATATATCATCTCTTTTGTCCTGTGAGCAGATGCATGAAAGTCTAAACAGAAAAAATGCTCCATATTTTTTTAAAAATCGATTATCCTTTTTAGTCGTAACTAGCATGAGTTGGGAGACGAGGGAAAAGAGCTTGATACGAAATGAAAGCTTCATGGTGATATAGTTAGTTAAAATTCATGTGCATATTCTGCAGAAGCAAGACACAAAAGGCTCATTTTTTCACATTGGTTCTATGGAAAATGTTGCCCAGTTCTGTGTAAACACTGCCTTAAGGAGAGAAGGGCTGAGCACAAATCTCTTTGGGGAGGATAGAAGATGTTTCTGCATTATTTTGAGATGAAATCTATTGTCGCTACAGTAACAAAGACAGAATATTGACTGCTCGAAAGTTGATTCCCTTTTCATAATATTTTCTGCTTCTGTTTTCTCTTCTAATTAAGTATCTTAATTGTGAGGTATATTATTCTGGCGAACGGGACTTGCGATTTTTTTGTACACGTTAGGGTTTTTAAACCCACAATATACTCATGTATCTTTTAAAAGTGGAGAATATGTCATTTCACAAATAATTTTCGACTTTATTTAATTCCTAAAATACCTTTTTGTTTGGAGGATCATGAGTCCAAGCCAATTTTCTTTGCACATCTCATTAATGAATTGTCAGTTTTCATTAATTTTTAAGGTGACACGAGTAATTAAATTGTACAACCACTAGGAATTGAAATCCGCAGGTGTCAATAAACACTTAGTCTTCATCCTGATGTGCTGCTTCTCAAATTGTCAATGTGCCCACTCCTCTCAGGATTCCCCCATTTGCTAGGAACCCCCTCATCTACTTGTTGCTTCCTCGTTGCCCAAGCATTTCCATCCTTTTGCCCTCATACATGAATTTCGACTTTTTCACCAACTCGTGGGCACGCTTATTTTTCAGCGTAAAAGTGGCTTTCCAATGTAGATTCTTTTCAGTCTCCTGTACTCACCATTTCATTTATTGCGCATACTCATTCTCTACGACTATGCCAACTTATGGGATAGCCCTTAGTTGGGCATTGCCTGATCACCAGTTATTCTACTTTATGTGGCATTTTTCTTCCTGAATTTGTTAAAATTGCATAGTAAATGAGAACCTACTTTTGATAGTCATTATTTGTCTAGAATGAGAATACTTTTCAATGTGCAATACTCATTGTCATAATAATGTATGGACTTTAAAAGTAACTGGAGCTTTGGTAGTTTACCTTTAATTCATACTTTCCCTAACATGCTTGCTTGTCATAGTAATAAAGTTTTTCTAAGTACTTATTTAGTCTTTATTTTCTTCACCCTTTTATTTTCAGGGATGCTTCATATGTTTGACCCTTGCAATTGGATGGGTTTTTGCCTCTCACGTCAGGTACTCAAATCTTTTAAAATAAGAGTTGGCACTATGTTGAATAATAGCCCTATGAAAGCAATCGTCAATCTTGAGGAAGAAGTAATTTCTTCAGCATCATCGATTCATTTGTGTTTCAGGTACAGTGCCATACTGCGAATGAAGCGTGCAACTGCGGGTGGAAATCCTTTTGCATTTATCTATGAAGATATCAATGATCTTGAGCACTGTGCTCAGTCAAAGTTGCCGAGAGTCTCAGTTGTTATGCCTCTCAAGGGGTTTGGGGAGCATAATCTGCAGAACTGGAGAAGTCAGGTCAATATTCACATATTCAAGAAACTCAAGTACCCTTTCAGATGTTTTGTTGTCATTCAACTGCTTCTTTCATGTTCCTCCAAAAAAATGCATACCTTTACATTTGCATTGCTATTAATTCAATTTTATGACTGCGGCTTGTGTTTACATCTTCTATTGGTTCACCTCAACTGGCACACATACTGTGATCAATTGTTTTCAATGAAATTCACTTTATGTTTGATTTTCAAAAATTTCCCGCTTGTACCATTGTCTGGTGTGCTGTTTTCAAGCCTCTCCTGATAGGTGCATCTATTCATTTATACTTTTGGTTTTGTGTGCAAATTTTCCATTAACTAAAGTAAAATACCAAAAATATCCCATCCCACCCTACTGAGGTCGCTTCACTTTTTTCCATCTTTAAAATTGAAAAACACAGGATCTGTTTGGATTGATCGGTTCCCAATTGGAGCAGGTCTTTTAGACACTATGTAGAAGACGTGTCCTGTGGAGAGTAAACGGGAGAAAAATAAGGTGCAGAGAGCGGAAACAATTGAAGAGAAAGAAAAATCACCTCTCTCCCGCCTACCCTTGCTATCTCTCATGTCTCACCCCCCCTTCCCTCATTAGTGGCCTTTTCCTGATATTCAGAAGGTTCCAAGTATATTACAATGCAAGGTCGGATGGTGCTTAACACGAGAGGCCTATTTTGCACATGGAATCATGCGCATATAGTACGAACATATCTTGTAATTGTAGATTATTTTTCCGTAGAGAATGGTATATGTGCAATGCTGTTTTTTCCTTTACATTTTGATTCTTTTTAAGCATGTTAACATGGAATAACATATATTTCTTCTGACTGCTGGTACATTATGGAATCACATGCTCTTACACTGTCTATGTATTTCTCAATTATCTCCCCTTTGTATTTGATTGCAGATTACTTCGCTCTACGGAGGGCCCTTGGAATTCCTTTTTGTTGTTGAAAGTGTTGATGATCCAGCCTACCATGCTATTACTCTGTTGATCTCAGAATTCAAGGTGAATTGAAGAGCTGCTTTTTGGGGCACTGACTGTTGACATTTTTTTAAAATCCTTGCATGGCATGCTGACATTTCTTCTTTAGAGATGTTATTCACAGTGTACACCACATTACCGCGCTATATCTAGTGGCGGCCACCCTTGTCGTCTTTATTTTCAGCTTACTGCTGACAACTTATTAAAAAATTAATCTCACAGTCTGGTTCACGATTTATTTTCTCTCATTTATTACAATTTGTGAATAATGTAGTTTTGATTGAATGGGTTGGGATGCATGTGGTTATCCCATTTCTATTTAGTTGATCATGTTAGATAAGTCCATGTCTTTTGTGATCATGTATTATATCTGACGGAGAAGGGAGTTTTCTGACAGGGTGCTGATTTATTTTCAGGACAACATTGATGCGAAGATTGTCGTAGCTGGTCTGTCAGAGGCATGCAGCCAGAAAATTCATAATCAATTAGTATGTGTTAATTTCCTTATTTGAAAGAGACTCGTATGCAACAGGGAATATTTCTGTGCGTGAAAGTTGATGTTCTGTTCCTGTCAATTGCTTTCTTAGATGGCCTTGTATTTACTTATTTTATTTTTCGTAAAATGTTACATGTTAACCTGCTCTAGCTATCGACATTTGTGATGTGTTCTTTACATGATGGAATTTTTCATATGAAGATAGATATTACTGGTATTCCTTTTACTTCATGGGAAGGTATCCTGGTAGGAAGGTCTGGACATTTGAAAAATCTACTATTATGTTCAATGTATGATGATACATGAATCTATTACACTTCGAAGTTCTGACATGGGCAAATTGGCAATGAACCCATGAGCTGAGAAAAATGATACAAATTGGTTTCTGTCTTTTTCTTGTCTTTTCACTGCAAACAACTGTCATAGTGTTGACTTGTGTCGCCATGTATAGAATGTAAAAAGGGACACGGAACAAGAACCTTTTCCTGATCATCCAATTTTAGCAGCTATGCACCTTTCTTAGTGCAAAGATTTGATCTAGGCAATTGTTGCTGGTGTGAACTGGTTCCTCTCCTTGAATTTAAACTTGATAATTCTCTTTTTGAATATTTATTCCTGTTTCTCGAGATCATCAAAAAGGTTTTGTATGCTGTTTGGTTTTAGTGTCTTTTTGAATATGCTACTGCACTACCCTAATTATCTTTCTTATAGGCAAGCGATTATTGATATGACGATCCTTTCCATCCAGAATTGAAACAGTTAAAAAAGGCTTGGGAAAATTTGTTAAACCTTCTTAGAGTTGGATCTATTTGATGAACCCATCAATATTCCCAGTTCTTCACTGTCTTTTTGTCTTTTCCTTCGGTGGGTTGTTCATACTTAAGGCTGTTCTTTTCATACTTTATCATCCTCTATTTGTGTCATCGAGAAATCAGGATTTTTTTCTGAAAAACTTTAGAAAAATTATAATTGTCAGATTGTAAACGACTAAAGAAGAATCCTCTGCTTGTCGTCTGCTTGATATACTTGTGGCTCATGTTCAATTCTCCTCATTAGGTTCTACATGATTTTCACGATACTATTTTTCCAATATAACTGCAGAAGTTTAATTGAATATGCCTGGAAATCAGATGATATTGTGTTCTGCTTGTTACTTCTTTATTATCTTTGGTCCTTGCATGATGTCTTCATTTATTGCAGTATACAATCAGTTTAGATAATGTGCATTTGCGGTTTCTCCAATAAGAAACTAGATTGGTTTGAATGCTACTTGATTGTTACGGAATGGTTATCTTTATAGGTTGGTATCCAAAAAATGCACCAAGACAGCAAGTATGTGCTGTTTCTAGATGATGATGTTAGACTACATCCTGGTTCAATAGGAGCACTCACAGCAGAGATGGAGAAAAATCCTGAGGTTTGTTTGTCTGATGCCTGTACTAGACCTCTTCCCGAAATGCTTTCAAATTTAACTGCCTTTTGGATGTTAGTATTGTTGTTGTCAATTTGCAGATTTTCATTCAGACTGGCTACCCTCTTGATTTACCATCAGGAAGCTTGGGAAGTTACTGTATCTATGAATACCATATGGTAAGAACACCTTATAGTTAAAATTTATCATACTCTCCTAGCAATAATTGGAATTATAATCTTCATCATTTGTTCTTTTATACCTTGCTTCTGTAATTTTTGAAACTGTTGATTAACAACTGGTTATCGTCTTTGTTTTGTTTTTTTTTTCATCCTTCGTCATCAGAAGATACACTTCCTCTTGCCCAACCAATATGCACAGACTTCTTATATCTGACTTTGGTGTTATTCTCCTTGTTGGACATTTTTTTAAGTCACTTAGTCTTTGGAAGGAATGATAATCTGTGTTTCTATGTATAGGCTTGCATGAAATAAGAACTCACGTCTCAGCATCCTGGTTACTGGCCTTCTCGATTTAGGATACTGGAGAGTATCTTGTGCATATAAGACAACTTATTGTCATGAATCCTTTCATTTTGGTTTCTCTAAAGTTTGAACCTAGGCATCTTTCTTATGTCTAATCATTTTAGCCATTTTCAGATTTGCCAGTACTTTTTTTTCGTTTTGGAATGATGAAGACCCTGTATCACCAGTGAACCTCAGTAAAACTCATGAATTCCTACGTACTTCCTCCATTATGATCCCTTCGGGTGTTCAAATGAGGTCCCTGGTAGGAACACTTTATGCCTTCTTCTCTATAAAATGGTGTAATGTTTGCCATGTGGAAATTATGGAAGTTGTAATTAGTGTGTGTCCTACTGATACAAAGAATTAATCCTTTCATTGATGTGTGACGCACCATACCTGTGACTGATTTCAAGAGAAATCACCAAATGTGAATTTAAATGAAAGTTGGCCAACAAATGAGATAACCTCTTTGAGCAGTCACAGTGGGGTTACGCTTGTAACTAGGGTCCCTTCTAAGGTTCCTGGTATTCAAAGCCAGACAGATTGTAGGAAGTACGGAAACTTCCTCTGACCAAGGTGGTTGTTTATGATGGATAAGGAGATAGGGTTGGTGGGGACTTAGAGGCAAGCATAACCAGCTATAATTTTTTGTGACAGAAGATTAGATGAGAGGTCCAAAGTAAAAATGAGAATGATTATACCTTGAATCTGTGGATGGAGACTCATAGAGGTCATCTTTGAGCAAATGATCCCACTAACTATACTTCTCATTGAGATGTAGCGATCCCACACTGCCTAAAGGATGCTAGGGATCAAATACGGACAAATTAACCCTCAGCTTCACATTTTGGGATCTTGATTTTACACCAGAAAAGGACTTTCTTGACCCTTTTGGGATCAGTGTTTCTTGATTTTGCACCAGAAGCATGATGCCTTCAATGCTCCTAAAAAGTAGTGAAAAGTTTGGGGGTTCCCCTGGGATCTTTAATAGACCTTAAATACTTCTAGAAGAGGTCAAAATTGTCAGATATAAACTTGGACTCAATGACCTAACAAAAATCAGGAAAAGAAATCCCTATTACATTATTCACCAAGTCCAGTCATGCTCTTCCTTTGAGTGCAGACCTTGACTGGTGCATGGTTGACTCTGATGTCCTCATTATTCAACTAGTTAGAAAAGAAAATGCCATTCAAGCTAGCTTATATAAGCTTTGGCCATATCGAATTTGATAGTATTAAGAGTATGGGTTTTCTTCTCAAGATGCTGAGCGTGTTTTAATGCTGTTAACAAAGGGGCGTGATAGAAGCCTCATAGACAAGGGCGATTGAGTTGGTTAGTAGATTTATAGAATTTGTTTACTATCGGCTTTCTCTTTACAATAATCGCATCAGAAACTATTTTCTGCCCCTTTAGTTTCATGAAAATGCACTTCAGCAGGTTGACTGTTAGAGTGATTTTTTAGTTCTTTGATGATCTGCATAAAAGTTTCTTGTCATGTCCGAATCTTGTTGACCCTGACTAGTTTGGGTTTAGCCATGTTTTTGCATGAAAAAAATGACGAGCAAAGGATAATGATAAGGGGAGGGACAGAAATAGTGGTCTTTGTTAGTCAGTCCCGCATACCTATGGTTTTCACGCCTTGGTCCAGGTTTATGCTTCAAAGTTGTCCTGACTATGAAATAAACCAGTCTATGCTTTGATGGGGAAACTCCTCGTTGGGCAGAAGATCCCATCTCTTACTGCTTGTATGTTACCATCCTACATCTCTGTTATAAACATCAGTTATCCACAAACCTCTGCAAGTAATTTTGATCACTTGTCATGGTATAGGCATGGGGCATGACTTTTTATTTTTCGAGGGCTATTTGGACGAATCATTAGGGCTAGGATGTTGAATGAGATTAGTTATGAACCCAGGAGATCTTGGGCTATTTTCATTTGATAATGTCTCTTTTTACCATTTTCATAGTCGTTAGTTAAAATATCTGTCAAAATATGCGTAGTTTCACTGCATAAAAACGATCTTTTTTATCAATTCTCTTGGTCATTGTATCATAGGTTTTCCCCTTGGTGTTGACATGTATAAAACATGTGTATACATATTTATTCGTTAACATCTATGTAGTGTCCATATTTTTGGGTCAAGGTCTTGATAGTTTTCCGAGTCTTGCTTTATCCTCTTGGAGTTTGTTATTCCTCTTGTGGTTATTGAAATCTTCATGAAGAGATAATATTGGTTTCTCCATTACAAGAACAAATATGAACCAACGATCCATAATTAAGCTCACCAAGTTTATTCATTTTTTAGTTATTTCTGCTGCATCCCAAATCAGATCATTCATGCCTCTGAGGAATACTTTTCCATATCTTATCAGAGTTCTTCTTTTACATTTTTGTATAACAGTTTTATTTTTTTTCGTTAATTAATTTGGTTTTCCTTTTTCTCGCTAACAAAGTGTTGGAAATGGTTTTAAAAGTGTGAATAGTTAGCCCTTTTGCGCTGATGTTCACTTTCTCCTTCCTTTTTGATATCTTTGGCCTAGAGTGATCATGACTACCATGTCTGCTGTTTTATTTTCAGCCTTGTTCGATGGGATTTGCTACTGGTGGAAGGACATTTTTTTTATGGGGAGGGTGCATGATGGTAAAACTTCAACGTAACTCTTTTGCTTGAAAGGCACTTTATAAAGTCTCACAAACTTTCATCTCCCTTTGTGCTCATATCACTTGTTTATATTCTCAGATGCATGCTGATGATTTCCGAAATGACCTCTATGGTTTGGTCAGTGGACTTAAAAACGGTGGTTATTCTGATGACATGACCCTTGCTGCAGTAGCTGGTAAAACTTCCATGCTACCATGCTTGAAATTGGGGCTCGAAATGAGAACATTTATGTTGATATATGATGAATTTTTTCCTCTTCATGTGATTCTTTGGGTTCTGAAAACAGTCTACCACACTATTCATAAGACATAAGCCCTATTTTCGTCTTCTTTATCTTCTCTATAAATATTTAGTTGCTTCTGTTCTGCCTCAGTGGCACTCCCTGGGTTTAGTGGATGCATTTTTTTATTCCCGTCATGTTGTTAGTTTTATTTGTAATGGGTAGATCAATTACTTCTATGGCCTGTAACTCATTTGTTCTTTCTCTTTGTATTCAATCTTTAATCCAGATTTCTGGTTCCTTGACTGTTCCAGACCTTTTTAGAAGCTAATTATGAAATAAACCTGTCTAGATTCGACAAAACCATCCGTGGTTCTATTTCTTGTGAACTGATACCGCTCACATTCAACTAATGCTGCATCATAATTTATCATGTTTTCTGCTTTAAGGCCCTTTGTTTTCGCTTCTTCTCTTGATGCCCACCATTATTAGCCCATTCTCTCCCCCGAACTTGCTTCCGACTGTTTCCCCCTGTCTTTCTTTGCCTCATTACTTCCTCCTACTTTGCAAACTCTGCCTCTTCCGTCTTCATTCGCTTGCCCAGAACGCCTTGTTCTGATGCCAGATGAGCGGAATTCGGGTTAAGGTTTTCAGTTGGCTCAGTCTGAGAATCTTCAAACTGAGTCTAAAGTTGTAAATTTTGTGGTATGAAAAGGAAAATATCAAATTTACTTTATATACTCTCTCGAAGGTTACATATAAGTACTTACTACTGTCAGTTGCTCGCTTGATTAACACAAGATATCCAATGCAGGGGCACATAAGAGACTGATCACCTCACCGCCAGTTGCTGTCTTTCCTCATCCGCTTGCAAGTGATCTCAGCTTTTCAAGGTTTTTATTCTTTTATTTGATTTCCTCATAATAGAATTAGCATGAATCTACAACGATGCTCACCATCAAATCCTTTGCGCGTAGATACTGGAATTACCTCAGGAAGCAGACATTCGTTCTGGAGTCGTACATTTCTGACGTCAATTGGTTGATGAACCGCGCATTATTTTTTTCACATTGCTATCTATCTTGGGGATTTGTGTGTCCATATGTTATGGCTATGGTCCATATTGTGACAGCCATACGTGCAAGATTCGGTGACTATCCTTTCAACGAAACCACTGCGTCATCCACCGGTGATTACTTAATTCCCTTCTGACTAGAACCTTTTTTGAACAGAGATGGGACATCTCTTTCTCTCTCTCTCTGGATATATATGTACAGATATATGTTGCAGGATGAAATCCCAACAGTTGCTTACTGTTTGCATGTTGCTTGAATTCAGGCCTGTTGCTGACAACTTGCCTGGCTACGTGCACCGTTTTGGAGCTTCTTTCAATGTGGAACCTGACGAAGGTGGAGATTCAATTGTGCAACATGCTATCTCCAGAAGGGCACCGAGTATCTCTTGGTTCGTACAACTGGGGACTTGTAAGCATCTCATCCTCCCATTTCGTTCATGTCAATGGCCAAACCCCTCCTCCCTGCCTTGCATTATTTCTTTCACCTGGTTCTCATTTGATCCAATGGCCTCATGCATCTGGTCCTTCCATTGCAATGGCTCTATGTGATCCGCTTTGCTCCGAAGTATGCATGCGTGATGTGATGTTCAGCAATGTGTTGAAGGAAGCTTTTGCCACTGATGTTGCCTCACAAGCAGGTTTTCATAGCTATGCTGGTGGACAACTTCCTGTACCCTGTATCCGCCATTCGCTCCCACTTTTCTCAATCCATCAACTGGTCAGGGATTCGTTACCACTTGAGGAACGGCAAGATAAGCAAGGTGCGTGCGTTGTTCTTCGACTGTAAGATTATGATGATCGTTTTGTCCCTGATCGAAAAAACTTGAGCAATGGTCGGCCCCATTGCTGATCAGTTCTGAGTTAGGATGCCCCTGTAGCTGCTCTCGGCATATCCAAAACGCCTTAAAGTTTAAACTTATATGATAATTCTTCCGAGTTATATCTACCATCCCCTATTCATAGGACCCATTTGGCTATCTGGGTAGCGAGAGAGAGAGAGAGAGAGAGAGAGAGAGAGAGAGAGAGAGAGAGAGAGAAAGAGAGAGATACCATGACAGTAATATTATCTCTGTCTACATTCTAGTTCAAGAAATATTATTATTACTAACCACAGGAATGCCGGAAAAGATTGTGCCTTAAACTGTTTTACTGTTGTGATTTCGATGTTTTTCTCACCTCACCCTTCATCTTCTTTGCCGAATATTTCTGCATAATTTAAAAAATACTTTGATGAAGTATTCAACAGGATCATCATCACCTAGACACTGTTAAAATTTTATACCTGTGCATTATCCATCTGCAGATCGAAAGATGCAAGGATCCCAGCTACTCAGACCTGGGAGGCAAGCATCTGTACCAGAGGAGGGGTTCCCCAACCAAGGCTCTCTTCCTCAACTCAATCCTGCGAAGCTTCTCGCAGTGGCACCATCCCAAGAGATCTGACAGCTAGCCTCCCCCCAAACCTTGCAAAAAACACCTGTGACCTGGTTTCTCGCGTGATGATTCTTTTTTTTTTTATGGCTTCTTCTCTGATTATTTTTTCTTCAGCGTCCCATCATTCAGTTGGTGATTTACTCTCACCGCGATTTATTTGCAGCCACCAAGGTGTTCACCTACATTCCCTCTCTAATGTTCTCCTCTCTCTCTCACTCTCTCTCTATCGATATCTCTCTCTCTCTACATGTGTTATCATGGTTACGTGATATTATATGGCCCTGATCATGTCATGTTCATGGATTGTCCCTTGACTTTCTGTCTCTGTAAATGAGAAGAATATCCTCACATGCTTTTATTCCGTTTGTGTTTAGATGATCCAGAGCATCTGGTGAGTGCCCACTTGAGAGTTTGACTTTCAGACCCACGGGTTGAAAGTCTTCTACTTTTCCTGGTGGGGGGGATCGGAGTCCTTAATGGTCTGATTTTGTCAATAAATGACCTGATAGAAACATTTATCGTCCAAATGGGCTTTTCTTTTTTCTTGGGGAGAGGAATAGCAATTTATTTCTTACGGGGGGGCATCCGGTGAAAAGAAGACGAATCAGGGAGATATCGACAAATTCTTGGATGGTTTATAGGTAAAAAAAGGGAAAAAAAAAAAAAAAGAGTCCGCTTGACGCAATTTATAGGGTCTCTAATTCCTTCGATCATGAAGTGGGAGCTACTGGGCCGGGGTGGGAGTTCGAGATCAGGCCCAAAACCGTTCATCGGGCCGATCCATTAGGCTCGGGATCGTCAATGCTCGGTATGGGGTCCACTGAGGAGCCAGTGGCCATTTAGTAACCGATTAGGAATGACGGGGGGGGGAATCGAACGGTAGTGATTACCCGAGGTATCTCACTTCCCCCCATAATGGACGACCAGATTTCACCTACGGTAGTCGCACCTGAATGGACGGTGGGATATAGGCCAGGCTGAGAGGAGAGAGGGGATGTGGGGACCACTGACCCGCCAATGAACACCACCCCGGTCGCTCCCGATAATATCGGGAGATTTTGGCGATATGCCGCCTCGGTCGTCGCCGGCTCCCTCCTTCTCTGTCTCTCTCCACGTGATCTGGCAATCCCGGCGAGAAAATGGAAAAGGGCGGCGAGATGAACGGGGGAGAAGACCATCGGGGGAGAAGACCATCGTCGTCTTCGCCCTCTGCCTCCGACTCGTCGGCGCCTAATTGTCCGAAGATTTCAGAGGAGCTCGAGGAAAATATGGAATAAATAAATCTAGAGAGAGAAGGAGGAGAGAGAGGAGGAGAGGAGGAGAGGAGGAGAGGAGGAGAGAGAAGGGAGAGAGCGAGCTGCCTGCCTGACTACGGGAAGCCGACAGGGAAGGGAGGGGAGGGGAGGGGAGGTGGAGGTGGAGGTGGAGAAGGAGAGAGATGAGATCTGGCCTCACCTGAATGGAAGGCCGCACCGGGGAACAAGCCGGTGGCGTGGGTGGATCGGCAACGACTGGCCTCGAGCGGCCAAGCGGAAGGAGCACCGGAGGGCCTCCGATCGCCCGCCGGCTTCGCGGCTTCGAGTTCGCCCCGGCCGGGGGCTGAGGGAAGTCGTCCCCGGGCAGTTTATCGGATTGCTTCGGTCTTCGTTTTTGTTTTTCATACGTTTGTAAGGTTATTGTGCTCTTTTTAGTCGGTCTGGTTAGGGTTTGGGGTGTAGCGCGGTAGGTGTTGTGGGGGCAGAGGCCGGAATGGGTTCCTCGGAGGGAGGAGCTGGAGACGGGGGCGTGGGGACGGAGTGCACCGTCGGGACCATCGTATGGGTGCGGCGGCGGAATGGCTCTTGGTGGCCTGGGAGGATTCTGGGGCAGCACGAGCTGTCCGCGTCGCACCTTATGTCTCCGAGATCTGGGACTCCAGTCAAGCTCCTTGGAAGGGAAGATGCCAGCGTGTAAGTCTTTAACCCTCCTGCCACTTTTGCTAGCCCATGCCAGTCTATTTTTCTTTCTTTCACATGCCCTCCTCTGCTGGAAGTCGTGGCTGGATTCTCAGCACTAGCGGAAGATATCTTACTTCCTTGTAGTTTATCTATATCATTCTTATCTCTGTTTAATTAATTTCGTTGTATATTTTACAAGGGCCGCTTTGGCACGAGCAGGGTGGGCTGTGCCGGAAGTTTTTTGATTTGACCATTCTTTTAGTAATTAGTAGCGCCGGAGTAGGATTCTGTTATAGTGTCAATGGTGTTACTATATGTGATAATGTTCATCACACAACAGGCATCTAGGACTTTTCTGTAGCGCCGCAGGATGGATTTTAACTCGCATGCAGAGAGTTACTATAACTTGTTGGCTTCCTGAAACTGTTGTCATCAGGCTTGGTTTAAAATCATGTGGTACTGCCTTTGAATATGAGAGTTTTCCGAAGTTCTTCCAACAAGTCAGAGATGTGAATACTTTCTCATATCTGATATTTGCGATGCTTCTGATGGATGCCGTACTTTTGCTCGAGAGGCTGATATGAACATGATGTGTAGTTCTTTAATGTTGAAACTTGTCTACCTATTCCTATGAGGAACAAGCTTTGAATCGTAATCAGAGGTAACAAGGTGTTCAGTATCTAGAATTTACAGAAGGCACATGATTTTTTTTTTTGCTGTTGTGGAGTTTGAAAAGATCCCCTAGCAAGAAGAATTTAGGAGGTTATATAGGAGTCTCAAATTATTGATTTTGACATGGAGCGACGTAGAAGATATGTATACATTTCCTAAGCGTATGTACTTATTGGCGTTTCTCTTTTGTCATGCTACTATCATAGTGTTGTTTTTGTTGATGGTGATGCCAGATAAGCTTTAAGGACCCAATGGTTATCTTGAATCACCTAGGAGACTGAGAATTTTTTTTACTTTTTTACACTGTCGAGAAACACAATTTTTTGAGAAATGTCGGAGGTAGATATTTCATTTGATGCTGTGGATTGCCAACTGAAAATGAAGAATGGCCGTTTCCACTCTTCTATTGGAAGAAAAAATCGTGTCAAATGATGTTCTCATCAATACCACAAAATGCTAGATTTCCTCTTTACTCCAAGTTGAAAATTGCCCCATTTAATTCTTCATCAAATTATTTACCTCGTATTCCCAGGAACTTTATCATCCTGCATTCTTTTTGTGTAACTGTGAAACTTGATGCCAAGTGAATGGGATGTCTTAAGTCTTTGCCAAATCCACGGATGCTTTTGTGGATGAAGCCAACCCATCAATAGTTGGATAAGGTTTCTATTGATAAGACTTCTGTTGGTGCTGATGATAAGGTGTATAAAATTTGTCTTATCGGTCTGGTTCTTCTAGTCTTTTTCTTCAACCTCTCATTCCCTTGTTTCTTCTTCGTTATTTTGTCTTTTTCTGCAATCTATTCCACCCTTGTGGCGTAAAAGATAGAAAAAAAATTCACCCTAAATCATGCTGAATCAAGTAGTCTGGCTTCCCACCGTTGGAGGCCATGGTGACTCAGACCTTTTCATGAATACTTTTTTCTCTGGTTCTGGTAAATCCTACTTTTCTCATATTATAATTTCCTGTTGCCAATCCCCTTAAAAAATGATCTGATTCGATTCATCCTCGACTGATCTGGCAAACCATGTTTTCCTAGTCATCACAGTGGGTATCTGATAGGTTCTATAACAAAAGAAAAACATGGTGGAGGTTTAGAAGAATCTCCAGAGGTCCTTGGAGATGTTAGATGCGTGCTAATTTCTTGTAAGTTGACTTATTGGTGTGGAAGATCAAATGATGACCATTTATGGAGGCATGTCTTGAAGGAACCAATATTGTAAATATGGTGTGTGGTAGTATTTGTGTCAGGTTTCTTTAAAGTGGTTTGTATCATGTATTTATTAGTGATGAGGATTATTCCAGTCGCATACGTGAGAGTTTAAAGTGGGATTATTAGTCGGGGGCTTAGAACACAGACTTGTACTTGATGGAGTTGATCCATGCCAGGGTTATTCAAGAGTTGGGATGATCTGTTTCGGCTCTTAGCCTTCTAAGAAACTTTGCTAGATTATCATGCGAGATATGTTGTAAATCTCCTCCTCTCATACGCTCTAGAAAATTTATCTTTCTATCATTATGAAATCCCTTTGTATAGTTAAACCCCCTCTAAAATATTGTCTCTTGATTCACCCTTTGATGACTAAAAAAATTCAAATTTGGTCTTATTTTTTACTGTTCTCTTACGTCATCAAGCGTACGTCCAACTCAAGTTTTTTGAATTTTCTCTGTTTCTAATGTATTTGGGCTGTTAGGCCATGTTTCTTTCTGTAGTTTCTTAGTCAATGGCTCCTGGCATTGCTAGGTTCTAGATTGCATATGGAGATTTTGCAGCATACTACGAGATACTTTTCATCATATTGATCTAATTAGAGGTAGACGAGGAATTAATATTGTAGATTCTTTTTTTCTGTAGATGAGCATTGTGTTTGAATAGAAGTCGTGATTGGGCACAACATAACCTAGGATCATTCCGTGATTGGCATGTGGAGGATGTTCTTTCGATTTCCAAGTTTATAGTAGAAACGACTAAAGCAAAAAAGTTGCTATAAAAAGGAAAGAACTCAGAGAGAATGTAGTATGCAAGTTTCTAAATCCATTTTTTATCAAGTTTTTCAAGCGTCCACGTCGATAATTATTAGTGGGGTAAACAGCAATGAAAACAGGTGAACCATCTCAACAGTTTTTGAAGTACATTGATTATTACGAGTTGTTCTCTTCCTCAAAAGACTAAATCGTTCTCATCAGAACAGCAGAGCCCAGAAGGCATGGTGTTCGGTATGCTATTATTTATGTCTTACGATTTCGTCTTACACTTATGAATCTTGGTGTTCATAAGTATGCCAAAAGTTGAACTGAATAGTTCCTTGGGTAAGTTCAGTTAGAAGTTAGCCAGTGCTGAAATCTGGCTAATTTAAGTAGAACCCTGGAGGTATCTTGCTAGTTGATGAAGTTGCTATAGTATGTCACTGAGCTACCTAAACTGAAAAACCAGTATTTCTTTTTCAAATTTTGGCCTCTTTATTGTGCCTGTTTTCTTTGTTCTCTTTGTGCTGTGTTCTGACACATTTTCGAGATTGCGATAGTAATTTGATAATCCATGCAATTTATCCAATCCCCTTGTTTTTATGCTATCATTGTTGACAGTATTTGGTGAATTTAAATGTTGATATTATGATTTTTTTTGACAATGATGATCCTCCAGAGATTGGTATAATTTAGAGAAGTCGAAGCGTGTAAAGGCTTTTCGGTGTGGAGAATTTGATGCTTGCATCGAAAGGGCTGAAGCTTCCCTAGGGGGTCCCATACGGAAGAGGGAGAAATATGCACGTAGAGAAGATGCTATTCTTCATGCCTTGGAACTTGAGAAGCGACAACTTGAGCTGCAACAACCCAACAACCTGAGCCATAAGCATTCTGGCGTTTTGAAGAAAGAGCTGAGTAGCCCACCATCATTTGGATTACACAAAGTAAGTGATGAATGTGCAAGTCACGGTAAATCTGTTAATGTTAAGCCAAAGTTACATTCGAGGATATCCGCTGAGGAAGTTGGTGGAAGCAGCCCCTTACATGCTCTGAGGAACAAAAATAGTACGCAATTAAACTGGGAGGATGAGAACTCTGGGACCATGCCCCGAATGAGAGGTCTGCAAGATTTTGGCCTTCCTATCGCTCCATCAAAAAGGAAGACCTCTAGCTCTGTTGCATGTGAAAGAACTAAACATTCTTTCTCTGACGATCATGTTGATATTCATCCTGATTCCATGCATGGCATGGGTACTGCAAATAGTGCTGGTAATGGAAAAAGTTCATTGGCAGTCAAAAGGAAGCGATCTCAAGGTGGTCTGACTGAAGAATCTCTTATTAAAAGACGCGATAGACGTCGTCCACTTGTTCAAGTACTGAAGAGCAGTGCTAAATTACCGGTACCACAATCTTCAGATTCAAACTGTGAACTGGCGTCTGCTGCAGCGAAACAGAAAGAACACATTGGAGATATTTGCCATGATAAAAGGAGTCGACCCATCTATATGCCTGATGATTCCAGCGATTGCTTGAACCCCACTGGAAATTCTTCTGATCAGATGCGAATTTCATTGGCCCAGTACGCATATGGTAATGGTCTTCATCTGCCTGGTTCATCGTCACTAGAAGGCACATCGTCTGGATTGATTGGAGAAGATGACACTGGTTCCTCAGAGAGGGATTGTGGAGATGTTAACATGGAGGAAGAAGATTTTTTACTGCAAGGTTTGGCGATTGTGGTTCATCTTTCTTCGAATTAAGCCTGCGTTTCTTACTTGAAATTTAGTTCTGCCTGGACCTTTTCTGCATGATCACTTTAATGGCCTTGTCCTCATAGACCATAGCTTCTGTAGTGTAGAGAAAATTTTCATTGTTTCCCGTCAGACCTGTATTCACTATTTACAATCCTGGAAAACTGCTGTTTTTTCTTTTTTGTGTACGGTGTTATAATTAGTTCATGAAGTTATCTTGTGTTTACTGACCTTAGAATATTATTGATTACTCTGTCAAGCAAATGTTTCGTATTCATTACTTTCTGGTTGCCTGACTTCTAGAAGATCGAATTAATGCAAATTATGACGAATACTGATTTTTAAAGGTTGTGTTTGTTTCACATTATTATAGAAAAAAATAAATCCCCATCGAAGTTATAACATCAATAATAAATACCGTACCATCTAATTATTCAACAAAATAGAAGTGATGTTTAAAGTAGTGCGTTCCTCTCTCTTTTACTTTTTTACATTTCATTAAGTAACTTTTATTGGTTTGTAGAAATATCCAACAAGGCTTTATTTCCATTGGTTGAATAGTTTGATAATCGATTTCTTTTCTAACACTCCTAGAAATTGTGTTGATTTGTTGGATGCCATAGATTAAATTTACTTTCTTGGTCTCTGGTGTTCCTTTTGCTAATTTAGGCTGCCAGATGGGGTTTCAAAGAAGCGTAAGGGTGGTGATCCAAAAAATTATAACGTGCTTGGGAGATGTTTGGTCACCCTTAGGCTTATCTTCTCCAGTAGTTTCTAATTCACACTTAGGCTTATGTTTGTCTACCTGTCTGTCCTTGTTGGTTTCTTCTCCGTCATAATAAAAATATTGGGACGATCCATGGGTTGGGTGGGGGGCGCTACCCTTTGCGCATCTGTAACGCAATTTGGATACTATTTTTTTTTCCTGAGAAAAAGCTGTTTACAAAAGTACATTTTTATACTCGTGAGTACATCCTTCAGTTAATGATTTGGAATCAGTTTGAGATCTAATTGATTTCTGTAGAATGTAGTTTACATAGTGTAGATTGAACCGAAGTTGGACTGTTCTCACTGTGTTAAATCGGATCAACTGTATACAATCTGATGCTTGAATCAACTAGTGTTACTATCAAGGGAGCAGTTTTGCAAGTTCTCTCGTAGGTTCATGTGGAAGAAACAGTTCATTGGCTAATAGCGTTGCTCTGTGCTAATCATGTGTATGCTTTATTTTGAAAAGTATGGTTCTGTTAAATTGATCATGAGACACGTTTGTTATCCTATTTTGAGCTGATCAAATTAGAGGAAAAATCTATTACTTTTAATACCTGGCAGTTCCTTATATGCTTTGGTTTGTTCATCTGGGCGTATCTATCAAACCCCAAGGCATTGAACTTGCTAGTTTAACTGCTTGTACGAGAGTTGAAGTGTTCATTCCAGCTTTTGCTGGTTCATGTGGTGATTGTTTTGATGTTCATGGCCTAATATCATTTTTTAGTGTACGGTGGTGATATTTTTTCTTCAAAATGGCTCTGATAATATTTGAATGAACAGCCTATGATGTGCCTGAATCTTCATTGCCCGTTTTCAGATGATAAATTGCTCATTCCCGAAGCTGGAAGCTTTCTAGAGGATGAACATATATTGGGCAAGATCGGCGACGGCTACGAGCCCTCAATCTCCGACGGCCGTCCCCATTCTCTCTCTAACGACGAGGGTGATGGCGCCGCCGCCGATGTGGCGGGGGTCTCCAAGTGGCACATGAAGGGCAAACGCAACATCAGAAGCCTCTTGAAGAGGGGCGCAGAGGCCGCCTGCAATGGCCCACCGGACAGAACGGCCTATGAGAAGAAGGCCGCGAGTTTTTCCAAAAAATCAAGGGAAGGGGTGCCCGGGCTTGGCCTCTACCACAGAGGCGATGAGGAGGAACTTGACTGCGCCGACGAGGACGAGCTCTCAGAGAAGGCTTTCGGCGGCCAGCTGCCGGGGTTCAGCCAGCGGAGCTACCAGTTCGGGCCGAAAGCCTTGGGCGCCAGTATTACCCATGATTCTGATGTGGACTCTCAGGAGATGTTCCCACCCGGCTGGAGCTCATTCTGGGGGGAGCTAGACGAGTGCCCTGAGCTGCCTCTAGACCATCACCATCACCAACATCATCATCCTCCGGGTGTCGAGTGGAAGATACCGTTGGTCGATGTGGATTTGAAGGTGCAGGCGACCTATCAGGGGGAGCGAGTCCCCCTGGTTTCTCTGATGAGCCGCCTGAACGGGAAGGCGATTATCGGGCACCCGGTGCTGATCGAGATATTGGAGGACGGTTCTACCGATCTGATGATTCCCAGTGGCAGCGTGGGGCTGGAGCAAGCTCTTGGTGCCGAGGAGAGCCCGTCGGCAGCGGCGCCCGTCTGGAGGACCGGCAGGAGGACAGCCATGCAGCGGGTTCCTCGCGCCCACCTGGCCCCCGCGGCTGCGGACGGTGAAGAGGCAGCCGATTTGGATGTCTACTCTGAGGGCTTGGGCCTGTTCAAGGAGCCACCTGCCGCTGCCGCCACCAGCACCCAGGGCAGTTCGATGAAGAAGGCGGCCAGCCACCGCCGCCCAGCTGCCGGGAAGTCGTCGTCACGCAAGAAGCTTCAGAAGAAGGCGATCAGCCTGTCCAGCCAGAAGACCAGAACCTTGTCCTCCATTGTGACTGAGCGGCGGCGCTCCGGCAAGAGCGCCGGGTCCAGACAAGGGCGGAAGGAGGCCGGCATTTTGGGTGGGCTGATCAAGCCCGGTGGCACAGTACCTCTGGTGACATGCGTCCCCATGAAGGTGGTCTTCAGCAGGATAATGGAGGCCGTCGGCCGGCCCCCGTCCTCTGGTCTGACCCGCCGGGGGCCGCCGACTGTGCCAGCTGAAAGGAGGCCATCATTGTAGCCGACAAGCATTCAGTCTCTACCCAGCTCCCTCGGTCAACGCCAGATAAAGCGGCCGGCCCGCCGGGCTGACGTGGCTGATCCAATGTGGCCAAATTCCCCGCTCATCAGCTCGACGGCCGCCTCTCTCACACCAAGTTTGATGCCACCACCGGGCAATGGTTGGTTGAAGCTGGCAGCACTGCGGCAGCCCTCGGTTCAGCCTGCCTCCTGTTGTTGAGCAGCAACGGCCCAGCCGAAGGAGCCGTCTCTGCCTGCCAGCCTGGCCTCTGGGGGAAGATGCCGGAGGACTGATCTGCTCTGCCATGGCATGAGGTTTCCATGATCAATCTGAACCGTGGGCGGATTTCAGGCGGCGCATGTACATGGATGAATGCACAATGGGAAATAATAAGAGCACACATACGTACACTCATCGCGTAATCTTGGCATCTCTACTCATCAATCAATAGCTCCAATCTACGCCCTGGAAATAAAAACTTTTGCAGGTCCTTGGAGCTTCCAAGGGGGGGGAATCTATGATTTCTTCAGGAAATTGATCGAACCTCTGCAGCGTTTGTCTCCATAGGGAGAGTAAGTTGTCCCACTCACCTTCTTCAGTGAGTTTCTGACAACGTCCATCGTCAAGGTTCCGTCTTTTGGGAGCCAAGGGATCTCTGAGCTCCTCCTGGGTTCAGATGGGCTCCCAGATAGAGAGAGAGAGAGAGAGAGAGAGAGAGAGAGAGAGATTTATAAATCGTGTGCGGACTTAGCTGGTTCATCGGAAGCACGGCGTCTTGGCGGAAGTGGGGGAGGCTGGAACAGTTTCTCTCACATTTCTCTTCTGCTGATCTCGAGGAGCCGGAGAGGTTGTCCTCAAGCTCAGAGGGAGCGGCCAACCTCGAGGGCCACGGCCCTCGCGAGGCCGTCGGCCGCCTCCTGCGTGGCCGCCTCGGCGTAGACCCGCACCACGTCTTCTGTCCCCGACGGCCGTATGAAGCACCTACCGTTCGGGTACTTGGCTGCACCAAAATCCGGGACCAAGAAGACGCTTTTAGCGAGCGAGAGAGAGAGAGAGGGCAGAGGCAGGGATTATCTTTGATCTCTGCTGCTTACCAGTCTCCGCGTCAATGGCTTCCTGCAGGCCAGGTGGGTTGACGACCTGCGTCTCTGCGTTCGCAGTTGTGACGACGCTTCTATCGGCAACTTTCACCTGGGTGACGAGTGAGAAAGAATAAAGTGCCAGAGAGAGAGAGAGAGAGAGAGAGAGAGAGAGAGAGAAATGGTCAGAGGGAGACAGAAGAGTAAGAATGGAGGTTAGGGGAAGAGAGTGAAAATGATACGCAGAGAGAGAGAGAGAAATGGTCAGAGGGAAACAGAAGAGTAAGAATGGAGGTTAGGGGAAGAGAGTGAAAATGATACGCAGAGAGAGAGAGAGAGAGAGAGAGAGAGAGAGAGAGAGAGAGAGAGAGAGAGAAGGATTAGGAGTTCCCGCTGGATCGTAGTTGAGATCAAGGGTACCTTGAGCTGTCTGCTGGGGAGGTCCTGGTAGAGGGAGTTCCAGTCTTCGATTGACCATCCCTTGTGCCGCAGGATCGCCTCCACCAGAAGGAAACCGCTGAGCGCGTCTCCGACAGCCTGGTTGATCAACTGGCTGACTTCCCACAATCTCAAAGCCGCCTTTTGGCTCTCTGAGCCTGGGGATGTTCAAGAAATGCCCCCAGTTAGTCAGTCAGTCAATCAGCCCAAGAACGCCGCAAATCCTCCTCAAGCTCTGTTCTTCAGGGTTTTTTTTCTAAATTTAGCAAAAATGAGGCGTTGACTAAAATGCTTCAAACCTGGATGATTAGTCGCAAGCTCGGCATTCAAGGGCTCCAGTTCCCTCAGAAACTTGTCCGAGAAGAGAACTGTTCCATGCCCATTCGCCTCGAAGTAGATCCCCACATCATACTCAGATGCCTTCTCATGGAGGTGCTTCACACCCGTGGGCGTGAACGCCACCTCCATGCCCATCCGCCTGAGGAACTCCGTCGAAGCTCCATTGGCGTACGCTGTCTGCACCGCGCCCAGCCTCGCCCGGCCGGCAGGCTCGCCGCCCTCTTCGAGCTTCGCGAGCTGCTCCTTGATGAACAGAGAGAAGAGCGACAAGATCTTGTCCCCGTCGGTGAGATCGATCTTCCTTCCTTCTTCTCCTGTGATTCGGAAGTACACCAGCCTGTCTGCATCACCATCCAAGCTCGCGCACCTGCAACACAGGAGCACCCGTTGCAATCAGTCAGTCTCTCTCTCTCTCTCTCGGATCACTCCCTCTCTTTCTCTCTCTAGAAGGTGAGAGGGGGGGAGGAAGACGATGAGCCCGACCTTCTCCCAGCATCGCTGGTGCTGAAGCCGTGGGGAATGGCCTTCTCCTTCTGTACGAAGTCGGCGCCCACTCCATCATTGAGGATTCCTTCCCCGTCCTTGCCCGAGTTTCTGACATGGACCGCGAGCCCTGCTGGCAGCAGCTTCATCAGCTCCCCGAGCTTCTCTCCGCCGACGCCGTTCGCTCCGTCCACCCAGACGCTCGGATCGTACGCGTTCCTCAGCGTTCCCTCGGGGGATAGGTCCATCAGGCGCCTGCGAGATCCAGGAAGGAGGATGATGGAGAAGAAGCAGCGAAGGCGTCGCCACCCATCCAGACTGTTTTTCTCGACTCACCTGAAGGAATCGGAGAGCTGCCGGAAGTACTCGTCCTCCGACGCCCCCCGGCCTTCGTTCCTCCGGCGAACCATCCAATGGAGCTGCGGGGTGGTCAAGATCCCCATGTCGATCGCCACGGCGCCGACCACGGCGGCGATTCCCTGTTGCAGATAGGAAGGGATGAGCGCTATCAGGCGACGCTCGGCGAAGAAAGGGCGAAGGAGGTGAGGAATATCGGGGGGCTCCATACCTGTTTCGCAGCTTCAAGGAGGGCTTCCCCGCTCGGCCTGGTGTCCCTCCCCAGGAGGATCTCGGAGGGCCGTGCTACGCCGAAGGGGATCTTCTCCTCATCGACGAACTCGAACACAACCTGCGCTGGGAGGCAACCAACGGGGGCAATGGTTTTACAGGAAGGAGGTTCCTGTCGGAGGAAGGGGAAGAAGACAGGGGTGGTGGGGGGGCGGCCTCACCCTGACGAAGTCCTCGGCGGTGGGAGCGCCGGCGAGCGCGTCCGCGAAGGGCTCCCAGAGTTGCGTCATCATGCTCCCGCTCGGATCGGCGACCTTGACGCCATTGTCGCCGACGGCGTTGTGGGAGGCGGTGATCATCAGGCCCACGGCGGCGCTGCCCATCTTCAGCGACCTTAGAGCCGCAAGAACCCCCGTCCGGAAGACCGTCGACGCCAGCGTCATCCCCTCCGCCCTGAACCCCGCCGTCCCGTACGACATCTTCACCCCTGCGACGAGATCCCCACGAAAGAAGACGCTCGATCAGCAAAGAAAGACGGACAGAGGATTCCGGCGCCAGGCTCGCCGGCGATCGCCTACCGGGAGGGAGGGGGAAGCCGGAGGCGCAGCGGAGGAGGATCGCGCGCTGCTGCTCCATGACGGCTTCGTTTCCTTCTACGCCCGCTCGTTCAATTTAAAGGATGTGGCTCACCAGATCTCGAGAACGGTACGCTGATCGACCTGATTTCCTGCATATCACAGAGATTATCAAACACGAGTCATCCACTCCGTAAGAACGCGGTAAGAATCTCTAGGTCAACGCCAGGTTTCTACCCCCCAAATCATCTCTCTCTCTCTCTTTGTTACAACCTGTAGGAAGAGGAAGGGGGATGAGGGATGGAGTTCCTCTATCTTGATGTACAGAGGAGAGGAGCAGCAGAAGAAACTACCTTACATAAGGTGAGAACCCTACATAATGATTCTGAGAATGCCTTTAGGTTACATCTTAATACTCCTCTCTCTCTCTCTCTCTCTCTCTCTCTCTCTCTCTCTCTAATATTTGCTGCAACGTTTTAATTTCTACAACTATCAATGCTAGATTCATCTTTTTATGTTATCAGGCTCACTATTATTCAATTCCGACCTACATTCTTTGGGAGATATTTTATAGTTTGATGATTATTTGACTATATATGAGTTTTATAATTATTGACTGGTTATTATTCTGGAAATATAAAAAAAATAAGCCACTTGTATGAGGTACATTGTCTCAAACTATGTAACCCCTTGGCTTGGCCTCAAGACCTCATATGAGCAATCTCTCCATACTTTGACTTACATAGTCTTTTCTTTGAATGTCGCTCTTAACAACAATTTTGCATTGTAGTTTGTACAACTATTATACACTTACTCCCCAATTTATTTTTTATTTCGCCTTTCACATTCTTAATTTTTTTTATTTAATATTAAACAAGATTGAGTGTTCTTATCTTTTAGGTTATATCATCTAAAAAGAATTAACCATAACTTCCTTTCCTCCTCACACAACACTTTGTAGTATGCTTATTCAAGGGATTGAATATGTTTTATATTTAGAATGATAACTATTACCCAATATTTTACTTCCTCAAAAAGTATGTGACATGAATTAATTTCATATGATTCAGATGAATGACCATCTATATAAGACCACATGCAACACATGAAAAAAACTGAATTAAATCAAACATTCAATTTTTTAATTGCCTTAAACCATGAATATAGAGTGTTAAATGGTTAAATTTAAAATATGAAACTTACTTTGTCCTTTGAACAAAAGTACTACAAAGAAAGTTAATTATAACTGATTCTTTTAAGACAAATAGAATCTAGAATGGGAGAATATTCAGCCATGACAATATTACAGAAAAAATAAAGGTGTCAAAAGAGCATTGTTAGTAACTATATCCAAAGAAAATACTAGATAAGTCAAAAATATAGAGAGAAAGATCATATGTTGTGTCAAGCTAAGCCAACAAACTGCACAACCTCAAACAATGATATCTTAACTAGGTGACTCCATAAGTGTCGACATCTCTCAATTTCATGAGATATTATAAAACTCCAAATATTATTACAAGATATGTAAATAAATAATCAGAATGAAACATCTAGACTTTAGTCAAGCATAATATTAAATGTCACCTCTCAACTATACTTTGGGTGCCCAAATATATGACCTAGTATTTGTTCCTCTTTCACATCATATCACCCTTTATTAAGTAGAGATAAATTGATTGTAATCGATGCCAATCAAGTCACTATTGTTAGCAATGATTTTATCAAGTTAAACAATCAATGATCCTTGCTTTGGTACTTTATGTTCCTTCTCTTCACATTTACTTTCCGTAAATTCAATCATAAGACAACAAATTACTAAGTAACTTTCTTTCTTAATTATTGTGTACATTAAGGCTTTGAAGACAAAACAAATAATTAAGAGTGGACGTACTTTATCTTCTCTAACTTGAAGGAAGAATAATACTACAATCATGATCCACTCAAGGAATAGACCAAACATGACAAGAGATCCATGTGTGACATTCTTAAGGTTATCTATCTTTTAAAACAATTAACACTTTGTTAGCTATGATATTTAAATCGATTAACATTAATTCTCTATATTATTAAAATTTTCAATTTACAAATAATGTTGTGTTCTTTTTCCTCTTGAAATTGAAAGTAATTATTATCATCTCTATGGATAGATATCATTCTCATTGGTTTTATTGGTGACTTTACCTACACTTAGTTATATCTAATATGATCTAAAGATAAAATACTGAGAGTAATTCCCATCTTTTACAATGTGCTTGTCATCTAGTTTCATAATTGGGTGAAAACCTTTCTTTCAAAAAATAATACAAAAAAATGAAATAAAAAATTAGCATTTTTATGAAAAATGAATGAATCATCTTTTATATCTTAACAAAAACGGTATAATTGAAAGAAAAAATCAACATCTTTTAAAAATCACACAAAAAGTTTGTATGAAACTTGATCTCTAAGTGTAATAGATGACATCTTATTGATTAGATGGGCTATAGTTGGTACAACTTCTACCCAAAATCATTTGGGCATATTATTTTAGAACACCAAAATTTATAAAACTATTATTTTATATTCCACCTAAGATATTCAGGTGTATGCATTATATCCATTTTTTGACCTTAAATATTAGTAAATTAGACATCATAGTAGTAATGGTAGTCTTCATTAATAACTCACCTACACAGGAATGTTATAAATATCTTAATCTTACATACATGAAAAGGTATATCCTTAAAAGACATCACATATTAGGAGTCAAAACCCGCCAATTTGTAAGGCCTCAACTCAAAGAAAGATCTTTCATGACACCTCATGTATTTTAGAATCTAGCTTGCTTGATCCTATATCTACTATAAAACCAAATATCTACACATCATTACTTTTATCTCTCATGATAAGTTCTCAACATAATGTGTCTCAGCCTAATCCTCATAATAAGGGTTTAACAAATCATGATAGACTTTAGAGCCATTATCTCAACAAATTCAATAACTTTATTTGACTTCTCCCTTTGAAAACAAACCTAAATAGGATCTTTCTATTACTTTTGTTAAAGGTGTTAGCTTTTATATTCATCAACCTATATTTAAATATGCAAATTACTCAACAATTTCTCCTACCTACCACTTTTTTAAAATATTTTGAGGTAAAAATGATTCGTCATAACTTTTCCATCCATGAAAAAATAGATTCTACTAGACATTACAAGCACTATGATATACTCAAAAGGCAATTTAAACAAGGGCTAGTGACACATCTTGTTACATTCTTAGTAAGATTATAATCAGGCCCATTGGAAAGAGAGACATGAAAAAATATAAATATGCATTAAAATATGTTAAATTATTTTGGTTGTAAATGGTACATTTAAATAATGAAAATAAAAATATTTGTAATTTTGATGCAAAAAGTATTTCAGGAATGTTTTCTCAACTCTAAAGCATGTAATTGAGAAATTCCTCCTATGTGTTATTTGATGAAGTAAATATAAACGAGTATGATATATAAACGGTTAGTTTACATACAACTTTTACTTTTCATAAACATGTTCTAAACAATTTTAAGTGTGATAAAAGGATGCTGATGGTGCTTTCAATAATTAGTATTATAAAAATTACCATCTTCACCTTCAAATTTTTGATGCAAGCATAAAGAGAAAAGTATGAACAATTAAGGAGCTTTCTACTAGAACGCCTGTACATAAACAAAATAAAAAGCATAAAAATTGTATGTTAGTGATATTATATTTGTGCCTTAAATGAAACCACTACTAAAAAATTTTCTAAAATTTTCTTGTTTCAAACTTTGAATTCTCACATCCTCTTCAAGATTTTGAACAAAGTAAATCCTCAGCTTTTTCTTATTTCAATTTTTCAACTTTAATTTATGAAATTTTTGTTGACCCTTTTATTTATAAGTCAAAAATAAAACTTCAATAAATCTGGTTAAACCATCAACAATAACAAGGCCATATTTCTTTCCTCATAAATCTGAACAAAGAGATTCATACACAAGTGCAAACAATATTTTTATATTTAAATGAGGATTTAGGCTCTTTATATTTTAGTTAATAAGATCTCTTGGTGATGCATTTTTAGAAATTTAACATAATGTATAAATCCTAACATAACTTAATCCTCAATGCTAAATATTCAAAAAAATAATCATTTTCAATTTATCAAGAATATAGTATTTTAGTCATGCTTCTCATTCTGGTATAAGTGCAGTTTTCTTATTTTTATATCCATGAAAGTTGGTCCATTTGATTCCTCTCTTCACGCCTAGCTGAAATCTAATTGTCCTCATCTAAAAGCTTACTTATGTTTGCCGATTATATTTACCAAATGAGTGTAGGAAAATAATTTCCATCACTCATAGATAATCAAAATTTAATTATATCCACCACATTTTCTGATGTTAAAAAAAATTCAAAATATTTTGATTATTCATTAAGTTTAAATTTTAATAATATTTACGTAGCTCAACAGTTTTACTTGCCAAAATTTCTTGAAAATCATTTTCAGGTCAATTAACATCAATTTCCTACGGACAAAACTTCTCAAATAGAGGATACTATTGTTGTCAATTCTCAACATGTTCTTTCTCCTTCATCTCCATAGGTGACAATTCTTCAATCTTTTTCTTCTGTTTTACGAACCTTGATTTGTTTCCGATCAGGTATCTCAAGCAAGCAGCCATTATCATGGTACAACATAACCCTTAAAAATTCTCATAAAAGGAAATAAAATTATTTACGTACCATAGAAGCTTTGTTGTCTCCAGTACCCTCTAGCGAATGGAGAGGCGGCACTTGTCCTGGTCGCTCATTTTTTTGGGATTTTTCTTTAAACTGAGCTACTTATTATTATACATTCTCCCAGGGTGGCTCATTTATATACTTTATTTTTCCCCATTCCGGGAAATCTTCCTAAAAGTCACTCCAGAAATTAAGAGAGAGAGAGAGAGAGAGAGAGAGAGAGAGAGAGAGAGGAAGGCGGAGAGGGGGTATTAATGGTACAGAGGAGAACCCATCCTCCTTCCTATCCGTGGTCAAAAAAATTCTGCTTTCCGAGAAAGGGGGGGATCGAAGAGGAGCTTCTTTACACGGGTTAAAATGAAAAAAAAAAAGAAAAAGGGTGAGCTCCCATGTGAGAAAGAAAGTTCCCCGTTGACATTTGGGGGGGTTGTCACCTGGAGGGAGCGTCAGAGGACTGGCTGTTCAAGGCGGGGTTAGAGGGGATGGAGGGGAGGATGGCCCCGTTCTCCTGCGGCTGCCCCGGCGGTGGCGCCCCCCACTTCGCCTCTGCCTCCGGCGGCTCCACCACGTGCACCCCGCCGTCGCTCATCCCCAGCGCTATCTGGTTCGCCTCCGACGGATGCGCCGCCACCACCGCCGGATACACCCCCCCTCCGCTGCACCAAACAAATACACCAACAACAAACACGACCCGCTATCATGATGATGGTCATGAAGAAGAAGAAGAAGAAGAAACCCTAGAAGAAGTAGAAGAGGCAGGGATGTGTAGGAGGAAGGAAGCTTACTTGGGGAGGGGGGAAGGGATGTAGGAAGAGGGCGAGATGCGGCAGCGGAGCCTGAGGCTGTCGGCGTCAAAGACGCCGACGGCGCCGTCGCAGAATCCGGCGTAGACGAGGAGGCCGTCGCAGGAGTAGACGGCGCTGGAGATGGGCGCCTGCAGCGTCTCCCTAGGGGACCACTGCCCAGGACAAATAAAACACCGAACCCCCCCATCCATCAGCACCTCCATCGCAGGAATAGAATGGAATGGAATGGAGGGGACTGGGCTGGACTGACCGTTCGCAGGGTCTCGAGCTTGACGTCGTAGACGCTGAGCTGGGTCTCGTGGATGACGAGGAGCTGCGTCTGGTCGTTGTGGAACTGGACTCTCGTCTCGCCGGAGAGGGGGGCGGCGCGCCCCGCCGGCGGCTGGATGAACCTCGCCTTCCGCTTCTCCCACCCGTCCATGCTCCACACGCAGATCTGCGCGAGGGGGGGCAGACGATCACCATTGACGAACAGAGGAAGAAACATAGAGGGGAGGAAGAGACGATCTTGATCTTAATCTTCCGCTGTAATGTAATATACCTGGGCGTCGGCGCCGGAGGAGACGAGGACGTTCATCGTCTGCGAGAATGCGAGGCCGGTGATCTTCTTCTGGTGGCCCTTGAGCTTGGTCTTCACCTGAGGAGAGAGATCAAAAGAAAAAGGAAATTCACAGGGAAGATGAATGATGGCCGGGGACCGCAGAGAGGAAGATCAGAAAGGGAGAAGAACAACAAACCAGAAACAGCAGCAATGCGTTGTTACCTCGTCAACCCGGACGTTATAGATCTGGATCGTGGAGTCCTCCATCCCGATGGCGATGATGTTGTTGTCCTGGGGGTGGAACGCCAGGAAGGTGGCAGCGGGGGGCGGCGGCATGAAGGTCGTCATCACCTGCCATCAAGATCGGGGTTTTAGGGTTCTCGAGCGGATAGATGAATCATCACAGAACGGGCGGAGGGGAAAGAAAAAGGGAGGGAGGAGGAAGGAGGAAGAACCTTGAAGGTCATCATGTTGAACAGGGAGACCTTCCCACCGGAGGCCGACATGACATAGGAGTCGTTCTTGGACAAGGCGATGCAGGCAGTCGACTCGTCAGAGCCGCTCTCGCTCATGTCGTTGGTCATGGGGACGCCGTTCGCCGGCTGCCACAGCTGGGGTGCGACGGAGGGAGTCGACTGGAAGAAGAAATTATGATCTCGGGGTGAATTCCATGGCTGAACCAGCGAAGAAAGGAGGAGAGAATTTTCCTTGCGTGTTTCACGTTTTTTTCCAGAAAAGGTGGTGAATTCCATGGCTAAACCGAGCGAGGATAAGCTGCTAACCTTTCCAGAGGAGTTCCGGTCGGTGCGCTGCCATTTCCACAGCTTGTGCACGCCGTTTGAAGTGAGGGCCAACACCGCCGACCCAGAATTCGTATACAACAGCCGCATGATCTGCATTTCCAAATGAAGAACATACGTCATCATCTATCCTCCCTCTTCCTGGTCAACGGTTCAGTCGCATCGAGTTTTTAAGAGCGTATATACTTTTCCCACAGCAGTAGATGAGTCGGGCAATCTCAAGGCTTTAAGCAGATTGGGGTCGACGATGTCAGCCAACTTCCAGCTTTTGACCTTGTCCAGGTCCTCTGATATCCTCGGCTTTACATCCGCCATCCTGCTGTTCTCAATGACAGCCTGAAGAAATTGCCACCGAGAAATCATCAAGTCAACAGCCGCTGGCGGCCCCATATGGCACCGGAAGAGGGTTCAGATGATCAGTACCAGGCCAGCCATGGGCATCGGAGGAGGGATCTTCTCAGGGCGTTCAAGAGATGTTGCCAGTGGGCCGGAGACGTTGGCAACGCTGCCCAACGCAGTGACAACTGAAGTCTGCAGAAATAGAGATGCACAAGTCAATCTGTGCCTCATGCGACATAATATTGACAGGTTTTAATGCAAAATCCTCGGATCACCAGGTGGAATGAGGATAAAATAATCGATGGCTATTTCTTCAGAGAAGCGCAAAAAACCATGGAAGTGAGCTGTGAGCTGGGTTTTATCTGGCACGATACCTTACTGCTGACTGGTTGCGAAGAACCTCGAGAATTCTCATATGCTCTGCTCTCTGATATCCTTATCAGGCGCTGCCCATCAGAGTTCGCCAAGATCCTGATTCCGTTGTCGTTAGTGGTGACTGCAAGCAATGATCCTTCTTTGTTGAATCTCAGCCGGGGACTAGCCTGCAAGAGAGTGAGGGCTCTCATGAATCCCAGTTTTCTTACAGTGACGAGTAGTACATACTTGAGCCAAAATTCATCCTACTAACAGGTAAACCGCCATCTGCATCAGTGAAGGTCAGCATATCTTTATTATCCATATCCCAAAACTTTATTTGGAATTCATCTCCAGCAGCTAGGAAGCGGTTCCTCGTCGTGTCAAACTGGACAACACCCGTTGAGCGTTTTCTGAAACCAGAGTACGTCCTTTTGATAGATCCCTCGGTCTCATTCCACTCAACTAAGTGAGATTCACCGTCTTTGCTTGTACCACACGAAAAGAGCCTGCACAGTGGTAACGCTGGGAATATGTAAGGTGGAGAGCGTTGGCCACTGGCATCACACTGCCAAGTGAACGTATTCTGATGGTGAATCCGCATGTAGCCGAGGTGACAAAAGTCACAAAGATAAAAGGGCAAGCTACGTTTGTGCAACTTCACCTGGTTCCATCAGCACTGTATGCCATCGTGGTGCACCAAAGTCCAGGCGCATCATAATCAACTCGAGATCCCAAGCAGTCATACAACCACGCTTTAATCTTGCCATCAAGGGCTGTCGAAAAGATGAACTGAAAAGAAGGTTGCAGTCAGATGAACTGAAAACGCTTTGATTTTGAAATGGCATGAAAACTATTTAGTCAATAAAATTTTTACAAACAAGAGGTACTTAGGCATCCGTCCAATGAGAGTTACCCAAAATACAGGAACAACGGAAAGCAAAACTGAGAGAGATCATCATATTCATGAGAGAAATTAATTATTTTACCTGAATGTTCTCTTTGTAGTGAGGACAGACAGAGTATACAGATGCGTCATGCCCTTCAAAAGTATGTTGTCTTTGTCCAGTTGCAGCATCCCACACCTTTAAATTGCATACAAGCATTCATCTTCCGGATGTCTCCCAGGGGGAATAAAATTTCAATTTTCATTCCATTCACAAACGAACAAAAAGTCATTACCTTAATTGTCTTGTCATCCCCGCATGTAACTATGGAGAGACTCTTATTGGGATGAGAAAAGGCTATGTCATTAACGCCTCCAATATGAGCATCAATCTGTTCAGAAAACACAAATAAGAGAACTTATTCCAGAAAAACCAAAACAAGATATCATAATGGACTGAAACACACTTCCAGTTGCGGCCTCAGTTCACCATTTGCCATGAAAGCGTACGTCTGAACAATATGCTTTGAAAATGCAACACCTGAATATAAAAAATAAATTCGCGCAAAATTTTGCGTTTAATTGATCACAGATCAGAATTGAACTGATGACAAAATAAAAACTAGAGCAAGAAAAATTCAGCAATATTCATTCGTAAAGGCATACCAAGTATAGATCCATCTGGACTCCATAAACATCGATTGACAGATGCTGTCGCATCCTTCATTAATGCTGCCTGGAAGATCAAAAGGAAGCCACATATCAAAAGTGACATGGAGAACGGATTCTACTTTTTCATAGAAAAAAAAAGTACCTGCAAGGGCATTGAACAAACAGAGATGTCCCAAACTCTGAAAGTTTTATGAGATATCCTTTCCCGTGATCCCACTTCCCATATCGCAATATCACCTATATTTGTCCCAACTATAGGGGAAAAAAAAAAAAGAATATCAACAACAAGTAAAAAAATCAAAAGCTACAATCTGCTACGAACTACAAGGTAAAGACAAACAATTCATACAGCAAAACAAATTACCTAGCAGGATTGTCTGTTGATGCGGATGAAAATCCAGGCTCATGACATTAGAACCCTGATGAAGTGTCCTGACAACGCTTCTAGGGATATCTTCAGCTGAATAAACATTTGGATGATGCGCCGGACCAACAAATGAGACCTAGAAACAGCAATTGAATTATTCAATTGCTTATTAATATTACACAAAGTTTAGCGAGATCTAAAATCCAAGACATGCTTCAAACCTCCTCTGAGTGGCCTGCACGTATTCTCTTCATTAAGTGCTCGGAATCAGCTTGATACTCCATACCAGGAGCAGTTGGCGGAGTCCTCGGGTGTTTTAAAAATGGAGCTGTCACGATATCAAATGTAAGTGGGGAAACATAATTTCAGTGGGAATAATGACAGATAAATTTTGTGAGAAATGCTGCAGAGGAAAAAAATCCTAACCGGAATTAGGAGATGGCACAAGTCCAAGGGGACCAGAGGCAACAGCAGCATGTGGCAGCGACGGATTAGCACCAGTCATCCATCCTGCAAGAGCGCTGGATGGAGTAACGACTGGCTGGAATGGCTGTCAAAAGAGTGGGCACACTTGATAGATTAATGCTCGGTACTATAGAAATCAACAAAGTTTTCTCCATTAAAGTCACGTAAACTCCACTTACACTATGGGCACCTGCAGGAGGAAAGGCACCAGCCTTGGGGATAGGTCCTCCAAGGGGGCTGTTGGCCGGTGGAGGAGTTCGGGCACCATTAGCTGGTGCACAGGTGTGATCAACAAATAGTGTTTTGATGTCAGGATTGGGTCGTGGGTTCTTGCAAAGCTGGTGCTGCCAGTTAAGACTGAAAAACATGGACACAATCGATTGACATAATAAGAACATGGAAAAGACAGAATCAGGTAACAGCCAAAATAAAAAGAAGTGGTGCTTTAATCAACTAGTTCGGACACCATTAACTATGTTTTAGCTTCAATCAAACTTCCCACTTTTGCCCAAAGCCGAGATATTATCTAATGATCTGTTTCAGTACACAATCCAAAGACATGAGATATGAATATAGACACTTTTGTACCGCCAATATATATTGTTATGCACCAATTATATCGTGGTTTGACATGAAACAAGGAACTAACAGCAGATGGTACAGCAATGAAACATACAAATCAAACTAATCTGAAAAGTAGTAAAATGCCAAATTATAATCACCTCTGGTTAATCAGAGTCCGTAGTCGGGATGCTTTGATTGGAGGAAATGTAAGTTTGTCACGGAACAGAGGGTTTGCCTCAATCAGCTTCTTAAGCTCTATAAGCATGATGTTGCGGGCGGACTTTGTGTCCCCATACTTAGATAGTTGTTCATTTTGTCTTCAGCCAACGAAAAGGGATAAATTATCGGCAAATCTGAATTTTAGGCACCAAAGAAACAGATGGAAATATGATCCAAGGAGAAATACCTGAAGTTCTCTAGTGTCAGCAACTGGGTTATTTCCTTGAAGAGCTCTTCATTGAAAGAAGAAAAAACTTTGAGATCCTTCACGAGAATCTCAACAGCTTTCCCTCGGTCATGCCTGCAAAATGGATTTTTGATAAATAACCAGGCGCTACGACATGAGAAAGGAACACTTGGAAATGAAGCAAAATTTCTGAAAGCCAACCCACCTGTCAAGAGCTTCAAGGTACTTCTGTTTCCTAATCTCAAAGAATATTTTCATAGAATACCGATTGTCTTCAACCTTTGTAAACCCGCTGAGGTACTTTTCAACCTCATCCCATTCTCCTGCCTGCACTAGATCCTCGAAATGTTTCATGTTAAAGAAGAAACCTGACTCCTGCTCCAATCTACACAGACAGAGAACAAAACAAACAAGGATAGAAACATAAGTCAAATAGCAAACTACCATCATCGCAGAAGATTTTAGGGCAACACGTATCGTTTCCTCTTCCACTTTCCATTTTGGAGAAACTCTTCGAAAGATGAGGAAGGAGACAGCATCCCACTCACCTATGGACCGTTTCCTTGAATTTCTCCTCATCCAGGAACTGCAGGATTAGAAAGACTAGCTCCCTACTCAAGGAAGACATATTTCCGGCTGTCCCGAATCCCTCCAGCGCAGAAATCTGATTCACAGACGATTTAGAAAAGATACCACCTCCTCTACCTAGCCTTAGCTACGGTAAACGGCCACAGAGGAAGCTGCTGCCCTATCCAACTCCTGGTTAAGAAGACAGTGAAATGTATGCTCCACAGCTGGACAAGCGCCTGGCTCTCTGAAGCTCAGAAAACCTCCTTTCCTGCCCTTTGCTTTCCGTCACACAGAACCCACCGGAATTGCCCTCAGACTCCCCAAACTTCCACCGCCGCCTCCCTTTCAGGAGAAAAAGAAGAGGTCACAATAACAAAACCCTTGCTCGTCAGCAGCCCCCAACACACCAACAGCGTCGAGATCCGTACCAACCGCAGAGGAAAACTCACAGAAAATAAACAAGGGAAGATCGCTCGATCTGTGCTTCTACTGCAAGCAAGCGCTCGAGCAAAAGGAGCTGCAATGGAGGAGAAAATCCGAGAAACAGAGATTCAAAGCAACAGCTCCGATTGAAGCGCGGAGAAGAACCCTAGCTTTCGCCGAGCGAGTCCCTTCTCTTATTCCCAGATTCCTCCTCTGGTCTCTCCCCCTTTTCCGTCCCTCTCTCTCTCTCTCTCTCTCTCTCTCTCCTCTCACTCTCTCTCTCTACCTTTCCCTATCTGACTCTCTCCATTTTTATAGTCTCAGCTCGTCTGATTCCTCCTGATTAGGTTGTGTTTGAGACTAAATTACCACTTCATCCCTACCCACAGCGATCAACTACAATTTCACCCCAACCCCCACCGCCCTATCCTCTCGTCTCCGATCCTGACCGTCCGTCTAAAATCCTTGGGCCCCACAGAAAGCATCCCACCTCCTCATTGGTCGCCGTTTTTTCAAAAAATATTATAAACCCACTTTCATAAATATTTATTCAAAAAGGTAAATCTATACCGACATCCTCGACCCCCACGACACACGGCCGGTAGCGGCATTTCCCATAAATAAGCTGTGATCGAAGGGCCTATCTGTCATATGGAGGGTACTTCATTCCGTGCCGCCACGTCATCTTCCTCGTACCCCCCGCCCTCTAGCTTTTTCCAGATCGCTACTCGCACCATCTTCCCGCATCTCCCTCTCGGCACATAAGCAAACGTACTTATCGAATGGAGAACCTATCGCCGAACGTTGATAAGCAGACTGTGATAAGCACACACCTACTTCTTTTATTTATCTGGCTCGGCTCTTCTAGCCGTTGCCCAAGTTTCAATAAATGCCAATGAAAGCTAACGACCAATGTCTGACATCTGCAGGTTCGGACGCGCTACTAGTTGCACCCGTTGGTAGCTCCTCTTCAATCTACACGTGCCGGTAACTCTCTCTCTCTCTCTCTCTCTTCTGGATCACACGTTGGCAGGTTGTCCGCATTTTTTCGTCAAGTGGTAGGTCGTTCGTGGGGCCCCGAATCTCGGACTTGGCTTGAGGCCCGTGGATCGACGACTCAGAGATTATTAAATTTGAATAACTAAAATAATAGATAATTTAGCTATTGTGGGTCCGCATGGGGGGTTGATCTCCCAAGTTATTGCGCCATGTGAAAGTTAATGTAGCCACTCAAGTCAACGTCAGAACGAGCTGGGAAAATGTGAGGCCCAGTCTCGGATCTCGCAAAATTGCGGCCCAACGTTCCGGTGAGGTCGCGAGAAAACGAGACTTCTCGCGGGCGCCGAGTATTCACGGGATAGCGATGGGGCCTCGGAGGAGATTCCTACGGATCGGACGGTGCAGATTCGTCGATGGACTTACGTCCGGCTTTTCCCGTACCAGGTGCTGTTTGTTTACCGGGAAAATGAAAAGGAAAATATTCCCAGCCGTCGCCGTCGCCAACTAAAAGCGGTGCAGTGAAGTTGGGGTTTCCCGTTGTTTGTGGCCCCGCTTAGGTGATGACTCGGCATCACAGAGGCGGGAAGGGATCCCACCTCCAGCACGTGACGTGGGCGCAGATCCTTTTCAGGCCCACAGGGTCGCAATCTCGGCCAGCTGGACTGGACCACATCCTTCCTGAAGAAAGAGAGAGAGGGGTTTAAGAGGACGCCGATATAAATACGTTTGAGGGAGACAGAAACGAGGAGAGAGGAGCTATGTAGAGAGAGAGAGAGAGAGAGAGAGAGAGGGAGAGTAGCAGCTAGAGAGAGAATGACAGAGACGTGGGATGGAGAGTGATTGAGAGAGAGAGAGAGAGAGACTCACAGATGAGAAAGACAATAGAGTGGAAGGGGACGAGGGAAGGTTGGCAGGATGTGACTGGTAGGCGCATCAGCACCGCTCGGTTAGAGCACCGGAAGGTGTCCTGACCGTAGACCCACCGGCTGCTGTCGGTTGGACATTTTGTCGTGAACAGCTGTCCAGATGCGGGCCCCACGCGGACGGCCCAGCCCACAATCCTTCGAAGCCATGCGAACAACATTGGTCGCTCTATTGAGCTCCTGCTTACCGTTGACAGCCCGTTGTCTCTGTCATAAGTCAACGGTCCAACAAATTCCCGTCGACGTCTTTTCGTCCTTCGCTTAACTTTTCGTTGCTTCTGAAAACAAGCACGTTAGACGAGTGTCTCACCAATTGGGCCAAATAGGAACACAACCCCGGCCGTCTTCCTAGTTGGGCTTCAATGTCTGGCTCATTAAGGACACGAAGGCCCGGTCTCATTGGCGTAGACGGAGGAGGGGCCAAGGGAGTCCCGAACGGCATCAGTATGTACTCTGCGACTACTTTTCCTCTGCGCTTTGTTTCTCTTGACCCAGGCCCAAAAAAGACCAGGCCGGGTCCAGCCCCTTCACTCTTTTTCTTCCTCCCCCTCCCCCCTCTTTATTCTGTTGAAGATAGGAAACCAACACATTATTCTTCATTTTTAGGGTTTCAGCACTGTAAAATTTCTTCTATTTTATTATCTCAGGCTATCTCGTCCTCAAATCTATGTTGTTTACTTCGTTTCTTTTTCTTAGAGCGAGAGAGAGAGAGAGAGAGAGAGAGAGAGAGGGGCTGGCTCTGTTTAGTAAGTCATAACCAGTCTGGCTTGATGAAATCCTCCATACCTACACCATACCCCTAAGTTATAAAGGGTTAGCTTGTTCCATTGTCCTCTCCTACTTTTGTATCATCAACAACAACACTCATTATTATTTATGCAGATCTAACAACACCAAGTAATTCATGAAACTTTATGAACTTTGCATGATTTAAAGTATTTGTAAAATCATCTACAATATGGTCATTGTCATCTTAACATAACTTCATCTCAATCAAACTCCTAACAATTTGATCTTGAATAAAGTGATAGTGAATCTCATTTTACTTTATTTTTCTATGAAAGGCTAGATTCTTAGTCATTTATATGATTAATTTATTGTCGTAACAAATCACCATTAGATTTATTTGTGTTATATTCATATATTATATGATCCTCCTCATTCATATGTGATAATTTACGTAGAAAACCTTAACATGTCACAAAAAGAAAGTCACTTGCCCTTGAAGTTTATTACATCAGAGTTCCACTACCTTGACCACGTGCTCCACGGAATATCTTCTATGTATTATTCTCCTACCTCTAGTGGACAGCTTCCCGTCCCTTCATCATGTTGACTTACGTACATCCACATGATCTTTTGCGAATAGTAAATTACAACCAGAAGATAGGCATGTATTTAATGCTAGTTATTGTTTAAAATGACTAGTTCCAGCACTAATGAAGCTAGGTGGGCTATCATTTTCAAAGTTTCTCATTCCTTCAGAGTTCTATGTCCATGGAGCAAATTCTACACTATTGGAAACTTTATGACTGAATGCAACTCTTTTAATTGAAATAATCGAAGTTCCGTTTATGCATTGTTTGAGAACACGAAACGAAAAACCCACTGCATGCAGCTAAAGTCCAAGCTACTGAAATAGTATATAAACAGTAGATAAAGGGCTCTGGTTACAACTAGCAACATTAGAGGAAAATGCGGGTAGATAGGAAATGTCATATGCCATCAATTTAGATCTTTAGGCTAACATCAGCTGTGAAATAGGAATGTGAGTTGAAAACTTTATATTGAGCATTTATATTGTTGTGTTAACACCACAGTGAGATTGCAATAGAATCCAATCTGTAAAAATCTCAATGTTCTTTCTAACTACAACAGAAGCTAACCTAGGAAGCATCCCAAGTCTATTATTCACAAAATAGGAATCACACGTTGCAGATTTAAGCAAAATACAGCTTAATAGCTTGTAACAAACAAAACTAGTTGATTTAAGCAACAAGATAACCTGTAAAAGGCTGGTACTCCATTTTAAAAGTCGGATGATGTTGTTTGAGCGTTCTAGATTTTTTTTCAAATCAAAAAAACAGAAAAGATTTATAGAATGCTCAACGTTGTTGTGCCAACAAATATATCACTATGACGTATGTAGTAAGGACACTGACCATGATAAACAACCTTTAATGAGGGTATTGACATATGGAGGAGAGGATCGAGAGACAATGTAGGTACTCAATGACATAATAATTGTGTCAATGATGGAACTACGCCTTCGAAAACTACCTGGTTGGTTTAGTTTGACTGAAAAAATCACCTTGTTAGGTGTCATAATTGAACTTTATTATTAGAAAAGTGAACTGCAAAGGAAATTCATTTTTATATCAAATCAGAGAGAAAAAATGCAAACTAGCAATCTACATGAAAGTCTTTTTACTTGAAGATTATATGGTCGCTATAGGTTCAAGAATGCAAGATCTATTTAGCCACCACATCAACTATAGGAATTATCTAGTGATGATGTCAACCTTATCTACTCTTTCCAATAAAAAAATTTAGAGACAGCATTAGATTGGCTGGCAAACCTTAGCTTCTGGCTGAATTTAGTCCATCATTTGATGAGTTGGCAGCAATGTTCATCAAACTGTTCTACCACAACATCAATGTCGTGCTCTCTATACAATGAAATATGGGTCGATTTACTTATCTTAATGGTGAA